ATGTTGTCATGCATAATTCCTCTTGTTGGTGATCGCAGTATCTGATTTGTTTAGGAACCGGTGGAGTGTCTATCACAGGTCTTGTCCTGGCCAAGGCGGCCGGCGCGACTACTATCATCACCTCATCCTCTGACGAGAAACTCCAGCATGTCAAGGAGAAGTATGGCGTCGACTATACTATCAACTACAAGAAAACGCCCAACTGGGGTGCTGCGGTGCAGAAGGTTACGAACGGCCAAGGTGCAGATTACATTTTTGAAAACGGAGGGGCGGGAACCATCAAGCAGTCACTCGACGCCGTCGCGTACGGTGGCACTATTGCGGTGATTGGTTTCCTGGCTCAGGCTTCCCAGGAGGAAATGCCGAACGTTGCTGCATTGGCTATTGGCAAGGGCGCCGTGGTACGTGGTATTATGGTGGGTTCCAAGCAGCTGTTGGAAGAAGCGGTGCGCTTTATTGGAAACCGGGATCTTCCGGTGCCGGTCGAGAAGACGTTCAAGTTCAGTCGTGACCAGGTGGTCGAGGCTTATGGCTACCTGGCTAGTGGGCAGCATGTTGGCAAGGTCTGCATTGAGTTCTGAGCTGAGCACAGGGTTATGGTGGACGGTGAATAGATGCGATGTTATGCATATAATAGAGAATCATTGATATAGTTGGTCTATATGAACAGAATCTCAGAACTGGGTTTGACCGGTCAGTTATAGAAGCCCAATCACCTAACCTGTATCAGTCTATTGTCTATCTTCGCGCACCATATTCCGGTAAGGATTGTTCGGGTCCTGCTCCTCCTCCTCTGCTGACGGGATGGTCTTGCGCACGCGACAGGGATTTCCCACAGCCACAGAGAAAGGAGGAATATCCTTGGTAACGACGGAACCCGCACCGATAGTTGAGCCCTCGCCAATGGTCACCCCAGGCAAGATGACAACGTTGCCGCCGATCCAGCAATCATCGCCGATGCGAATGGGATGGCCAAATTCGACAAACTTGCGGCGCGAGAGGACACTGACGTCATGTCCGGCCGTGAAGAGGTTGACGTTAGGGCCAAACTGCACGCGGTCGCCAATGATGATCAAGCTGGTGTCGAGGGCAGTGAAGCTGGTTTATTGTTAGCGACAAAAGCTCATCGCTTAAACGGGTGGACTCACTTGAAGTTGATGAAGCAATCACGGCCAATGACAATGTTACAGCCATAGTCTGGATTGAATGGGGGTTCCACAAAGGTTCCCGAGCCGACTCTCCCCACCACCTGTTGCAGCAGCTCAAATCGCACGTCTGCAATCTTCTCGTACGACACAGATTTCGCATCTAGGTTATTGTAGTCCTGAGTGACTCCGCGGGCCCGATGACGAGCTTCCATCAACCGGGGAACGATGGGATTATACCTGAGAGACTGTTAGGTGGTGCATGCATTGCACATGGAAAGAGGTCTCCTACAGCATGCCGGAGATCATGCGCTCGTAGTCCTCGCACATGGGAACATGATTCAGATCCCGGGCAATCTCAATAATCTCCGGTCGCTTCTCTGTTGCAGCGACAGACATCGTAGAGATGTACTAGAGGAAGGGAAGTAGAAGGAGGCTGATGGGTATATGGCGATGGTTGTGTGGAAGAAAGTTCATGTTAATGGACGCTTGGGCTCCGGGAACCGCGGGGAAACCTAAAAGATGTGCGGGGCATCCTGATTAGACTGTACCCACCCTTATTCGTTGCTGGAGTAACCGCATGTCTCACTGCGAGAAGAAGATGAACCCTAGCTAAATAGAGAGACATTTCTGAACAGGTCTGATTAATAAAGGTGAATGTATGTAGTACAGACGTGGCCTAGCAATGAACATGCTCATGATTGATTCTACAAGCATGAGGAATTGGAGTTGTTATTTAGCATAGTTCCAGGAGGCGAGATAACTAAAACGAGGCTGAATCTGTCAATCATGTACTCACAGCACAGTGATCATAGATTCCTATGTAACCACGTCTTGTACGCGTCTCCGGCCCGTTCTGATAGTATATGACCTGCCATACACCCGTGTGTCCCGCGTACAACTACATGGCGGGCGTTGCACACAAATGGAGAATTTATTATTCGTAACAGTCTATAATCAATAAAATAAAATCATTGTAATGCGTAAAGGTCTCTGAAGGGGAGGATGGAAGTTTGTAGACCGGCATTTCCATCTGAAAGGGAGGGTAGAAGGTAATACTAAGCGGCAGAAGGAAATGAAATGAGAAAGGTAGCTGAAGAAAGAAGTGAAAGACTGCCTCATCATATCTTGAAGGGCTGAAAATAGTACTAGCCCCTTCTACGGGTGAAAGGATGGCCGTAATCTGCCGTGTGGGCGGTTTTCTCCAGGGACCGGCGTGGAAACCAAGCGTTTCAACTAGAATGTTTCTCCCATTCAGACAATTTCTTGTAATAGCAGCCTAGTGTGCAGGCTCAGCAAGATCCAGATTGAGGGGTTATCATTACCAGAGACATTCCATTGGTTCCATATCAGTGGCGTGCCTGACGTAAAATTCCACCCCATCGTGCAGCCAAGAGTCTGCTCTGGTGGACCACCCTGCCTTGCTAGAAAAGATCGCATCGCACTAGTAATCAACCAGATACTAGTTCACTTCAGGGCCCACAGCTATACTACTCTATCACCAGGTGTGCCTGCCTATTGACTCCCTAAAATGTGATCGTCAACGTTAACGCCAAATGGAGCCATGACGACTTTATCACCGCAAAGATATACAGAGCCCTCTTTTATGGAGTCCCACTGTGTTCTGTTGAGTTCTTTTTGTTAGTAGAATTCCTGCTGCCTGAACCCATCAGTATCTCTCCTGCCGTCAACCCCATGAGGGAATTGCTGCGCTGACGTACACTTGATTCACGGATTCTGATTATTCATGATATGTAGTTCCGTCGAAGAAAAGATGTATGATGGACTCAGGGTAAGCGCTAAAAAGTAGGCCTTCTTCACGGATTATGTTAAGCGCTGGTAATATACAGCCAGACTGTAGCTGAACAGCCCACATGGAGAAAAGGTTTAATACCTTGGCAGCGGGGCAGAGAAGTTTACTACAGAAGTTAAACTAAGATTGGAAGTCTCTACCCAGCACGCAGAAGAAGTATGTTTTTGCGATAGATGGGAATTGGGAGCATATAGGCATACTGGTGTATCAAATAGGCGTTTGTTTGTCAATGGTCACCTGGAATGCCATGAAATTGTCTCTCATATGTATATCGGCACAATGACCTCTGCTAAGATGCTCTGTTTGACTCTATGATTCTTCAAAGACGGTAGTGCCTCTAAAACCAGTTCAATTGATATCCTTCTACCCACGTAGCAACCAAAACATACCCATGCGTCAGATACTAACCAAGGTTGAAGCTAGTAAAGCCACAATTGAACGTGATAGGCTAAATGATCGAGACCTGCGTATTGACTACTAGACTTGTGCTGTAGCGTCAAGAGCGATCTTCTAGCATTGCGTACCTGCATAAGTTGGTCAGTGGCGCAGACGAACTACGTCCTATAGATAGCACCACCTCCATATTGCACTAGAAAGGTGGATTACACGGTAAGAGTTTCATATACCCGTTTAGCCTTCTTTCCTGGTCCGCATAATAAAATACCCCAAGTCCCACCAAGATACGGGGTCGCCACGTAAGATACCGTACCAAAAATCCTATAGAGACCTCTTTTGACGAACAAATCACCGAATATCCCGCCGATAAAGAAGTTTCACTTTTAATCAAGCATACTCCAGCCCATTCACAAGCTGACCCAACAGCCTGCCTCTCAGGCTCAGAAGCTGGTGCCTAGACGTGAACACAAATTTACTATGCCCGATACGTGACGCGGTCAAATAAGGTATAATCAAGGGATGTCTGATTGTCCCAAGATATGGGAGAGCGTGGTGGATGGTTTCATGATCGACAATCTTTTACGTACAGGGCGGATAAAGTTTTTGACAGCACGGGGCGACAACGAACCCACCCTAACTTGGACCCTGAAAATAATGTCTGCTCTACAACCGCCGACATGAGTAACAGTGCAATGCCATGAAATAGTATGTAGAAAACCGACCAAGATGCTCTCTGTGCAACGGATACTGCACTTAGTGAATGGGAAGGCTTACTGACTCATGCTCGTGGCGAGAGAGTTGAGAAGACCCTGCAGTAGACCTATTTCTTGAAATTTTGGGATTTTAAGATCTCAGCTCAACACCGCGACTAGCCATGTCATCCTGCCCAATATCAGCCGCTGCGGAAATTGACGGCATCTCGGAATCTGCTCAAGGAGAAGCATCCATATTTTACTGCCAAAGTCTCGGCAGCAGGTCTGCTGCTATGTTCTATCACTAGGTGCTTCATATTTCCATAAGGATTTTGCCTGGTCCAAGTGCAGGTACGCCTACATTGGTTTGGGAACAAGAAGGGCAAACGCCGTGGAATCTACCTGGGGTAACGGTCGATCCACGCCGTTGAATACCTTCAATCCTCTATAGACCGCCTGAGCAGGAGTGATGAGAACAATGATGTGAAAGTAAGCTACAAGAGATCATCAACTGGTGCTCGGAATGTTTCCAGCATCAGTCCAAGTACCTCTGCGGACAATGGTGCCCTGGAGCCACTCAGCCTCCCGTTGTGACGAATCTATCAAGATGCGTTTTAACGTGTTCCAATTCGGAGCTTTCAACCGATTTGTCTATATTGTAGACACTATCTATTAGACTACCATACTAATTTTTCAGTGGCCCGTAGTACACGCGTTCTTGTATCAACCACTACTCGGGGCCGGGAGAGGGAGGCGTTCGAATTCTATAGTGACCGGCATCCACTGGGAAGCGTCTCCTGACCAGCTTTTCGCATTGTTTCGCCACAATGATCTCTTTTACACGGCAGACCGAAAGAGAGCTTGTCATGGTTAGATGCAGGCTATATAAGACCCAGGCTCCCTCCGACCACATCTATTGCCCAGAAGACATCAATCGTTCATCCACTCTTTCCCCTACTTTCTCTAACGAGGTAACTTGATTCCATATCTGCCTGGACATCATTTGCACCATTATTCCATCTCTCATCTGTTGAAAGCCCATCATGCGTCGTGCTGCGATGATAGCTGGTTTGACCGCCACTGCTGCCCATGCAGCTTCTCTGGCTGATGTCTGTACCACTGCCAACGTCAAGGCTGCCCTGCCCACCTCTGTGTACGGACTCACCATGATTCCTTCCTCTGTAACCGCCTCCCCCGTCTACAACGCCTCTACCAGCGGCCAGGTTTTCTTCCCCGATGCCACCTACGATTACTGCGGCATCACCTTCAACTACACCCATAATGGTCGCGGTGACACCGTGAAATTGCAGTACTGGCTCCCCGCCCCTGAGAGCTTCGAGAACCGCTTCCTGGCCACAGGTGGCATGGCGTACATGATCAGCGGCGGCTCTAGCTATCTTCCCGGTGGTGTCATGTATGGTGCTGTTGCCGGTACCACCGACGGCGGTTTTGGCGGCGAATTGGACATTGCTTTCCTCCTGGCCAATGGCACGATTAACTACGAGGCCCTCTACTCAATGGGTTATCACGGTATCGGCGAGCTGACCATGATCGGCAAGGAATTCACCAAGAATTTCTATAGCATGGGAGAGGAGAAGCTGTACACCTACTACCAGGGCTGCTCCGAGGGTGGTCGTGAAGGCTGGAGTCAGATTCAGAAGTACCCTGGCGTCTATGACGGTGTCATCCCTGGTGCCCCTGCCATTCGCTACAGCCAGCAGCAGGCCAACCATCTTTACTCTAACATTGTGGAGAAGACCCTCGGATACTACCCCCCTCCGTGTGAACTGGAGAAGATCGTCAATGCCACCATCGACGCTTGCGATTCTCTCGATGGCAAGGTCGACGGTGTTGTTGCGCGTACCGATCTCTGCCAGCTCCACTTCAACATCAACTCCACCATTGGCCTTCCCTACCATTGCGCTGCCAGATCCAGCAGCGGAATTGGTCTTGGATTTGGCAAGCGTGGCACTGACCCGCCATCAACGGCACCGTCTCTGCCAAGGGTACTGCCGTGGCTGCTGAAATCCTCAAGGGTCTGCATGACTCCAAGGGCCGCCGTGCCTACATCTCCTACCAGCCCACTGCCTCCTTCAGTGACGCCGAGACCTCTTATAACTCCGAGACTGGCGAGTATGAACTGAGCATTGCCTCTACCGGTGGTGAGTGGGTTGCCAAGTTCCTGGAGCTCCGCGATGCCGAAAACCTGTCTACCCTTGACAATGTCACCTACGACACCCTACGTGACTGGATGGAGTTGGGCTGGAAGCGCTACGAGGATGTCATGCAGACTACCTGGCCCGATCTAACTAAGTTTGAGAAGGCGGGTGGTAAGATCATTACTTTCTACGGTGAATCTGATTAGTTTATTCCTACCAGTTCTTCGGTCTACTTTTACAACTCCATCCGCAATATCATGTACCCGGACATGTCTTACAACGCCAGTATCGCTGCTATGGATGACTAGTACTGTCTGTTCCTGGTGCCGGGTGCATCTCACTGCTCAACCAATGATGTCCAGGCCAACGGCCCATTCCCCCAGATTAATCTGGCTATCATAATTAACTGGATTAAGAAGGGTATTGTTCCTTATATCCTCAACGCCATCCACCTGGCGGGTGAGTGAGAGGGCCAGAATGTCCAGCTTTACTCCTGGCCACTTCATCCTCTCTGGACCGAGAACAGCACCAAGTTTAACTGTGTTTATGACCAGGTCTTTCTTGATACTTGGGACTACATCTTCGACGCCTACAAGATGCCCCTTTACTAAACAGCCAAACAAGGCTGCGCATCGTATTAATAAAGCATAATATATATATATATATATATATATATTACCTTACTGTCATTTTATTATGTGTATACTTAGGATTTACAACGCTGGCCTCCCTGGGCCATTTGTGATAGCATTACATTTGTTGAGTATAACACTTGCTACCACTAGCGTACCTCTCTTTGCATCTATGGATCATTCTATGAAAGACGTAACACTGATCAGGAGATAAAGTATAATTTTAGCTATAAAGAGCCTAGTGAAGCACATGGTTCATCTGAAGACTAATTGATAGTAGATTTATCAGCCTTATTTTAGCCATAGTCCCCTTCCTCCCAACCTTGAGCCGTTATAAGGAGGAGATGTACGTCTATTTGCTTTAAGTATCATTCTCAGGATATTATCTTACACAGAGAGGTTTCCATGGTGATCCATATACATTACTCAGACTCCAGCCTCTTTGTAACGAGTCCCCACCCCCACCCCCAAGGACTAGAATCATGTATCCTGCAATAGGATTTCTACATCAAAGCCCCTACTCCGGCCGCAGCAGCTAACACCAAGACCAATGCGTTGGAACCGAGCAAAGTATTAGCACCGGAAGTAGACGTTGCCGACGAAGCAGAGTTACTTCGAGTAGCTGTCGAAGTGATGGTTGCCATGTTCGCAGTGTTCGTAGCGGACTTAGAAGAAGGCCACGTCAGTCAGATCTGGGTGTGCTACCAGACACTTGGTAAATAACATACACTATTAGAAGCAGCTGTCGCAGTGGCTGCAGCCCCGGTAGCGGAAGAGGCACTGGGAGTGGCGCTGTCCCCGCAAGCCTCGGCTGCAGACTTCACATCGTCGCCGTAATATTGCCAGATGTTGTATGTCAGAGCACATTTCAAACAGGCACTGAGCTCAGACTTGTACGTCGAATTAGAGCAATAATCATCGCTGTCTTGGGAGATAAGAATCACGCCACCTGTGACATTTCCCGGGTTAGCTGCATGAAGCGGTGGGATTGGGAATGGTCATAGTAAAGGAGCAAAGTCATCATGAGGGTAAGCGAGTCATTCCATGAAAGAACACATCAATCGGTGCTGCATCATACATACCGCAATTCGCGTGACACTCATACAAGGGACTGCCGGGTTCGATCGATTCCCTCCTCACTATAGGGAAAGTGCCAGGGAAGCTCCATGAAAAGCCGGGAGTGACAAGAGCTGCAACGGCAGCGAGAATGAAAAGAAGTGACTGCATCTCTAGATCTGCAGAGCCGTGTCTGTATCGGGTAACGTGATAGGGAGAAGAGATGCTTCGCGTCCAATGAGCTTGTGACGTGGAATGGTTGTGCTCGGTGGGATCAGCACCGTTATATGCTCCAATGAGTCCGTGTGCTGCACTGACTTCTATTCTGTAAGGCAGTAGATCGAGTCATAGTTCGCTCCATTATTGCGCTGACGCCGGTAACCTTGAGAAAGTTGTCAGGCCACCGGACCATGTCCCGCCATATGCTTTTGGGACCCATGGTATTCCTTTTCACAATGTCTATAGACTAGTAGATTTTTCTCGGGTTCATACGGGTTCCCGGTCTGGCGACTGCCTTGAGTGCAGTGCAGACGGAGTCTGCAGTACAATAAGGAGGAGCTAAGGGTGGCGCTCGCCTGGACTCTAATAGATTAATCCCGCAAGAGTACACTGAATTCTGGACCAGTCAGCTGGCTGAACGGTGCAGGGCTTTTAGTAGTATGTCGCGAGGTTACATCATAGGGTCTACAAGCAGGACATGGGAGGGTCCGATTTTCGGACGTTCATCTCCTTCGACTCGGTATGCCAGTCAAGTTAGGGAATTTCTGGTTGAGCTGGTCAGCCCGGATAAATTATTCGAGTACGCCCCTGGTCAAAGCTTGTCATACTAATGAGTGTGGACCCCGATGAAAATACTTATCTGATCCGAAGGCAATGACCTTGGATTGATTGAGCTAAACCACATGCTTTCAGTCATCCCGGTCCCAGGATACCCACTCAGGGAAGAAAATCTTGGAACGCCAAGGATCCGTCGTTAGCTGGTATGGGTGCTCGGAGATATTATACAAAGGGAGGAATTCGGTCCACTATTCCATGTGTCATGGCGAACAGGCCAACGGCTTGGCAAGAAAGAAAATGGCGTTCAGGCACATTCTGCCATCGGGATGCAGACAGGGATATTTGCGCGATTCGAGACCCTCCAGTGCTGGGGGCCCACCCCTACCCTTTTCAGGGAGCGGACCCACAGCTCACTGTTCCCTTGTTATGTAATGACCATCATTGACTCTGGGGGCATGGCGGAATACTAATGATGTAGTTGAACTGTTTTATCATGAGCAAATAGCAAAGAGTAACGAGCTCCTAGCGTTATGCTCTTCCAACCTGGAGCAAGCTGACGGAGAATCTAATTGGGCCGCGGTGGAGCCCTTATCGATCTGATATGATCCGATGCCGGGAGCTGCCCTTTCCGACTGTCAATTCACGGATGATTCAGATGCATCGTGACCGCAAAGGAGGGGTTTTTGTGATTAGTGCCATTCCTTCCTTTCCAGAACCAGGCTAGTTCTTACTGATTGATAACCTAACTTACCGTTAGTGGATTGCCACTATTGGAAGCCCGACCCTGTCGAACAGCTCGCCTAACGGCGGACTTTGGAACCGAATGCATGGTGACATGCTCCAGAAGAGAGTGGATGCCCATCACATGCCATTGGCGCTCCCATGCTTTTTCCATTGGAGATGCCTACTCCCATGACCACGATCAGTAATGGATTGGTGCAGTTGCATGGTGATTGAACCGACGAAACAGCGAGCTTTCGGGCGTGATGTCTGTTTTATAAGGGGTGCAACGAACGGATCATCCTTCAAATTTCTCTTTTCAATCCACGCCGATCCATCTTCAATCTCAAAAGGAAGCCATCAGTGCCTGAAAAACCCCTTAATTGGAATCCACCTGTCTTCTCGGGAACAGAATGCCTTCCATGAATATGTTCGCTTGCTTGCTAGCAACGACTAGCTTGATGGCTTCCGGCGTGTATGCTGCCGAAGCCACCGATATGGGTGCTGCGGCATTCCTGTGGCCACCGGACAGAGCCTGGGGAGCCACCTGGGACACTACAGCCCCCTGCGGTTCATCGGCGGGCGTTACAAACCGAACCGAGTTTCCTCTCAGTAAGTTGTGAACTGTCTGGGTATGTTCACTTTACACATTGACTGATGTCTTTCTTCTTTCTCAGCAAATGGTGCAGTTTCTATAGTCCTTCAGGATGAATCATACTCCGTTAACCTCGCTATCTCCTTTGACAATGGTAAGTTTCCCGGGTTCGCCTAGTTTAAAACATCCTTAACGTACATTAGACCCCACCAAGAATGCCGATTTTACCACTGTTGTGGCTGGCAGCCGCTTTCCTGACGTCGAGCCTGGTCACGAATGTTATTCAGTGCCCAACCCACCGTCCAACATCACTTCCGGGTCCAACGCTACTCTTCAGTTGAAATACATCTCCGACTTCGACAATGACGGTAACGAGACCTACTATGCTTGTGCCGATATCACATACGTACCATATAGCTCGTTCACCACCGACATCCCATGCTTCAATGTCTCAGAGGCCGACACGAGCAGCTCGTCTTCGTCGTCGTCCTCGTCGTCCTCGTCAACCACATCGGCTAGCAGTTCCAGCAGCAGCAGCTCGGGAGGCTCGAACGGACTGTCTGGAGGCGACATTGCAGGAATCGTGGTAGGAACAGTAGCTGGTGCTGCGCTGATAGGTGCAGCCGCATTTTTCCTCGGTCGGTACTGGCAGAAGAGGATGCAACGCGAACATGAAGTCGCTATGAACATGATGAACCCGGTGCAGAAAACGTGGTCGGCTTCGACGGCTGGACGCCAACAGCAGCAGGCATAGAATTCCAGCAAAATTATGATAAGACGATAGGGACTGTGTGTGTAATGTGGAGGATTCCTTCCTGTCCGTTGTCATAGTTAATGAGCGGCTCGAGCGGCTATGGACTATCTCATGGAGTATGAGAGACAATGAATGATACTTTGTACAATTTAAGTTGCATAAGAGCAGTTAATCGTTATATCAGCTTATTGCACAAGGTAGTGCGAGGGATGTGGACTATTCGCATAGGTGAGTTGAGAGAGGCAGCAACCCACAACACGTCGCCGGCAGTAGCCAAACCCTTTCGCAGCAACGCTTGTCTACAACTTGTTGCAGCATGATCTACATGATTAGCGTAGGCAATTATGTCAGTTAGTATTCATTAAATAAGTTACTATCACTCACTTATAATAAAAAGCTTTAGTTCATTACACGGCGATAAAATCAAGGAACAGAGAATATATACAATTGTTCTTTACAAATACCACTAATAGGGTGTGGCAGAGAAGAGTTGTGCTCAGTACATGACCCTCCAAGCTAGTGATACCTTCATTATTGCCTGAAAATGTAGTCACATCTCTGATTGTGGGTTGCCTCGCACCCATCCTATCAGCCTCCTATTTGCCGTTGGTTGGAATTCACACATGCGTGGGAATCACGGGTCTGGCATTGCGCTAGAGATACTGGTAGCCGCCAAACACCAATTGCAAAAGTAGTCAATCTCATGGTTTGCAAGGCCTCGAACCAGCTAGCTGAAAGGAAACAAAGGAAGTTGGCGGATGGTGAGATCGCCAGCTGGCCAGTTCAATAAGTCTAGCTGGAATGGGAAAGGTTTGGGGACATGTCAGCACTAACTACCTTCTTGCCTATCGCAAGGCTGGATGACAAGCTTCTCAGATGACATTCACCAGAGTTCCAGTTTTAGACATCTATGCCATATATAGTTTACTATATCCCAAGCCAGTTGCTCCCTCCTTCATATCCCATCGCTCAATTTTCGCCTCCTGCCAGAGTATCCCATCCCCTTTTATAATGGCAACCCTTGTCTTCATTCCCGGCGCATGGATCACCCGCGAGCTGTACCAGCCCTTCCTCAATGCCTGTTCTGATGCTGGGTACCCCGTTCATTATGCAGGTTATCCATCAATTGATCCGGCTGATCCTACCATTGCAGACTGCAAGACCGACACGGACGTGATCAGGGATACACTGCACAAGTTGGTCGAAGAGGAGGGCAAAGACATCTTCCTGATGATGCATTCATATGCCGGAATGCCCGGTGCAGCTGCCGCGCTCGGGTTGGCCAAGTCACAGCGAGTACAACAGGGCAAGCGTGGTGGCGTGATTGGAATGGTGTTCATCGCAGCCTTCTTAGTGCCGGAGGGAGTCAGCTGTGCAGGATTACAGGGAGGGGATCTTCCCCCGTGGATTCTGCTGGACAAGGTGAGTTCTTCAAAAGGCTGACTTTATCAGGGAAGACACAACGGCTAACGTTAATACAGCCCACCGCCAATCTTAACGTACCCGCTGACGCCGTCGCCAATTTTGCGGGAGATGTTGATCCGGCCCTGCTCAAGGACCTCAATGAGAAGGTCAAACCGCATGCAACTCTGGCGTTTACCTCGCCCCAGCCGGCTCCTGCATGGGCGGAGGAAGCATTTCAAGGAAGCTTGGCTTTTATAGTCACCACGGGCGATCCTGCCGTTCCGAAAGAAGCACAGTATGGCATGATGGCTGCGACTCAGCAACAGTGGATCGTCAAGGAAATTGAAAGCAGTCACTGTGCTCCATTTATTGATCGGATTGGGGAGACGGTTCGATTGATGGACGAGTGTGTGAAGGAATTTCAACGTTGAGGTGCATGCTAGGATCTTATTCTGTAACTCTCTAGCGATGATCGGTGTAGAAGCGTACAGAATAACAAGAAAAAAAAAAAAAAAAAAAAGAAAAAGAAAAAGAAAAACAAAAACAACCCGGAATGAACCGACCAACACGCTGACTGATTTTGCCAAAACTATAGAGTCAATATAAAGTATAATCAAATCTACGCCTTCAACAATCCCCGTACAGTTTCCTCCACCTGCTGCAGCATCTGTGCCTTACCCTGACTCGCGTCTACTGTAAGCACATCGCCCTCCGACAGCGTTGGCTGCTCTAAAATATCCAGCTGGGAATCCACCATTGTTGAGCGCATATAATGATCTTCCTTAGCCAGCCGTGCAACCATACGCTCCTTCAATGTCTCCCGGTCGTCAACAGACAAGAGCAGAAAGGTGACTGTAACAGGGAAGTCCAACAGCTGAGACAGCCGTCGCAGCTCATCACGATAGACAGTACGCAGTGCGGAGCAGGTAACAGCAAAAGCCGGCGCAGTGGTTTGCTGCAGTCGATCCATCACTGCCCCTCGGATATGCGCCAACCAGTCCCATCGGTCGCGATCCTCCAGCGGAATCCCATTAGCCATCTTCTCCCGCGCGGCCGGCGAATGCAGGTTGTCGCCTTCGATCACCGGGATCTCGAATCGCTGTGCCAGTGCCTGCGCAGCGGTGCTTTTGCCGCATCCGCATGGTCCGGTGAGGAAGATGACTTCGCGTGCTGGTGCTGCGGTGGTGGTTGCGCCCGTAGACGTGGACCAGCAGTGAGTGCGGAAGTATTGGACGAACCGGCTGACCAACTCGGGGGTGAGTCCGCCAGCCTCGCGTAGAGCAGGCGCAGCAGCTACGGCCTGCTTGGTATCGTACAGCAGCACACGACTAGGCTTGTCATGGTCGTACTTGCTGTTGAAAAATTCGAGCAGCTTGATGGGCGGGTTGACATTGGGATCCTGGTTAGACTCGCGTAACCGCTGCAGCCATTCATGGCGAGAGAGCTCCTCAAACTCTAGCCCAGCTTGTCGGAGTAGAGGAAGCAAGTCTCTTGTCCAGTGGCTCAACAGTGGGTTGGTCAGATTGACCACTTCGCCTGCCCTGGATGCCATGGTCAGGTCGATCACACTGGTCGCCACGACATCCACAGGCGTCCAGGAGAGGAGATCATCAAGCTGCGGCAGGGCGTGGATGGTTTCAGCTGTCTGGAACATCATAGGAATGGCCTCGGTAGCGTTCCAGATCCCATGGACGCTGTCGGCGATAATCTGGCCCACACGCAACACCCGAGCGGTGATTCCTGCTTGATGAGCGGCGCGGTTCACAATGTGCTCTGTCACCAGCTTGGATTGCGCGTATCCCATGCGCTGGGCGCAGGCTAGACTGTCTGGCAGCGCCTCCGGGACCCAATTGCCTGGCGTCCGGGCGACGGTGCTTACGGACGAACAGAAGGCAAACCGTGCTGGTTGAGGTCCATGAACGTCCAGGCAGAGGTCGAGAAGATGGCGGGTACCAGCGATGCAGCTGGACTCGAAGCTCTCCAGCGCCCAGTTGAAGTTGACTGACCAGGCGCAATGCATCACCGCTGTAACGGACTGTACCAGTCTGTTATACACGCCTTCGTCCAGGCCTAAACGTACTGGATTGGCGAGGTCAGCGGGTAGAGAGATGATCTTGTGCTCGGTAGCTGGTGACAGAATCGACGACAGGCCACGAGCACGCAGCGATTGACGAACACGACGGAAAGCTGCTTCGCGGGACCCTGCCCGGACCAGGCAGTAAATGGTCTTGACATGATCCATCTGGGCCAACTGGGCAACAATATGGGCCCCCAGAGATCCAGTAGCGCCTGTCACGACGACATGCTCACCAGGCTCTTCGCGAGGCACTGCAACATGACTCTTGAATTGGTTGCCGTACTTTTCAATGAGGTCCGCCATCCGCTCTTCGACCGGTCGCTGCTCTTTCGGCGCTTGTCCCAGTCTCAGGCGTGTCAACTCGTCCGCCATTGCCTGCACCGAAGGGTGCTCGAAAACAAAGTTTTCAGAGAGTTTGTGGCCTCCGATGTCTAAAGTCCGGAGTAGAGTCGTACGTAAACGGATCGATTGCAGACTATCCACGCCCAGGCTGAAGATGTCGGTTGTCACACCCAAGGTAGAGGGATCAATATTTGGCGCGACCTCCAGTAGCTGCTCGCGGAGGAATGCTTCCAGCTCCGCCCCCTCAAGCACCTGGTCACCACTTGCATCTTCCGCGTCGTAGATTTGGTCAATTTGTTCTTGATAATCGCGATAAAAGGCGGCACGTATAACAGTGCCCTTGTCCGTCTTGCGATAGGGCGCATCCGCCGGCAGCACATGAATCATATCTCGGGAGAGGTAGGCATACGCCGGCAATTCCGCATTGCAGCGCTCGATGGCTGGGAAGACCGCCTCAATTAGCTGGTCATCTGTCTGGCACTGGCTACTGGTTGCTGGGATGAGAAACAATCCGAGACGAGGCTTGTTGGCCCCAAAGACGATCGCTTCGGCCACGTTGGGGTCGTTGCGCGCCACCCCCTCGATGATGAGTGGATTTGCCTTCTCGCCATTCTCCAGAACCAGGGTGTCATCCAAGCGGGCATAGTAGCGCCATGCGTTGGGCTTAGTCGGGTGCTTCTCGAAGAGATCCTTCGTTGCATATGAGTTGTCGGGCCGGTTGCTGGCGACCTTGGAGGGCCAGCCTTCCAAGACGCACAGCTCGTAAATCCCCGACATCTGTTCCTCCCAACGCAAGTAGGGCAGCAGGGATGGACCCGGGCGAACATAGTCCCAGTCCAGGTCATCCCTCTCGCGGAACGAAGTCATCAGTTGACCGGTCTCGGTGGTTCCGTAATGGGAGACCAGACGCACTCCGTTCTGCACCAGCTTATCTCCAATGGGTTTCGGGCAAGACGAGCCTCCAAACATAACCAGCTCCAAACGGGCCATCATGTGCAGACCCTCGTCGGATTCGGACAATAGCTTCAGTGCATAAGGTACTGCATACAGGATCTCGATTTCTTGGTGGTCCTTGAAGTTGCCAGCAGATGCGGGGCTGTCAGCGGCAGATTCGCATTGTAGAGGTAGATCAATTTCTGCGAATGCATGGCTCGGAAGAGACAGCTGATGCCGTGCGCGTGAAACAGCGGCAGGGTGATGAATCCCCGGAGGCCGAAGTTGTTGGCGTAGTTCTTCAACGCTCCAGAGTGCGTCTGATAGATAGGCTTCGGATGGCCAGTAGAGCCACTGGAGTGGATAATCCAGCAGATATGCTTTGCCTCTATGCTGCCATCCAACTGCGCTGGTGGCAAGCAGAGGGTGTCTGCGCCGGGAGAATTGTAGTTCTCACTCGTCAATACCGGCTGCTGTACGATGGCCGTCCGCGAAGCCACCTTCTCCCCAACTGCCTGGAAGCTGGGATGTGTGATGAGGAAGGCAGCCTTGGTGTTTTCGATCAGACTGACGTAGGCATCTTCGGCAATGCGTGTCGATAGCAAGAGGACTGTGTGACCGAGACGGGAAATAGCCAGCAATGTAATCATGTACTCAAAGTCGGAGGGACCCAGCAACCCTACAACCTGTACGGGATCGTCCGAGGACCGTCGCTGTGGGATGACCTTTGCATAGTGCACCGACGCGGCTTCAACGAAGGTGTTCAACTGGTGGCAGATGTAATCAGTATCCCTTGTGACCCCAAGTAATAGATGCGGATGCGGGTTTACCTGGTTGGGAGTGTAGTATGTGTACTCGGTCCCCGACGATGGGTAAGCGACAATAGGCTCGTTTCCATGAAGTCCTTTGGCTCGAGCCTGTATGAGGTGGTTGATAGTGTAAATCGTTTCCTCCGCAGGTTCCCCCTCGAGCTCGTCTACCGACATTGCGGGCGACGATGCACTGAGTCTATTTGGGGAGGAGAGCGACGAAGGAATGGGAGAGACTGCCACGGATGCCATCTTTGAAAGCACAGTGGCGTAGGGGAGGGAGGAAGAGTGAGATGATGGCTGTCGAGGAGAATCCCAAGCGGCATGGGGGAATTTCTTGAAGTTTATGCAAATGCCATTCACAGACAAGTCAAATTGCAACCTGCTCGTGAGTCTGGACTCCGCATCTCCGACTTAGTCTACGGGGTATTGATTAGATTGCTGATTGGAAGATGGAATGGCGATGATGCAGATGCCCTCCATGCCGCATTTCCGCCTGCATTCCCGCCCTTTTCCGCCATGGTTTTTTCTCCACCGGCGGAAATGCCTCGTGCGGGGAAGGAAAGAATTGGAGGCACCGGAAGCCCTGCTCTTCTTACCATTTGCGCTATGGATACGCTTTCTTCATCGATTATTCGATGCATCGGATTATGTTTGGCGGAAATGCTCTTCTTAATGGAAGGGTACCTACAGAATCCATGTGATAGTTACATCACCGGCTGTGACTTGAGCCATTCCTACGAGCAACAACCTATGCCAAGGTAAAAGGCTCAGTAATAACGCTCAACACAGTCGAAACCCATGTAATGAGAAAGATTGGTTCTTCTAATTACTGCCAGTAAATGTCGAAGATTCTAGCTCCGGATCATAATGTACAAACGAAACCAGCCGCGACAGCACTGCAAACTCCAGCTTCAACTTGATGGTATAGAAAAAGGTCTTCAACGAGGTCTGCAAGATAAATAAGTCCAAATATTCCAGCGCTAGCAGTGAGATATCCATGAAGATAATCGCCGTATTGATAGCCAGTAGCTGCTCCATGATATTTGTCCTCCGCTTACTCCGATGCGGGTAGAGATAGAGCAGCCGAAAGGTCTGCACGATGAAGATCGTCGAGATGATCATCTCCTGCACGAAGAACCCCGTGAGCTGCACCTTGGCCCAAATGTTATAGACATATGCGAATCGCGCCCCGCCGTAGACGGCACCATAGGACAGGATGATCTGCGGAATCTGCAGGATGATGGCATCGATGATGATCATGTAGAGGACGAAGCGGAGGATTTTTTGATTCGACAAGATGAGATGAAGTCGCGAATATAGCACCACAGACTGTCCCGTCACCATAACAGCCCAGCCGAATGTTGATAGAGTTACTGGAATCCATAGCGGCGCCAGCTGGAAGTACTTCAGCAGCAGTCCGATTGCTTGCGGGATGATGCCGAGCCCGGTTGAGACAAGCAGACTCCAGAAGTAAAGGCCCCCATAAACGTGAAAGGTGAGAAAGACCAGGATAATGAGTTCGATCGAGCTGTACAGCGCACAGGCTAGCAAGCTGGCTAGCACCGCCTGGATAGCCAAGCTGTTGCCCGTATAACCCCCGGTGATGCCCTCAACGGGGGCCGAGTAATTGGCCATGTTCCCTGGGGAGCAACACCGTCATCCAGGCACATTCTGAAAAGCAGCGATTCCCCCTGAAGGATATATGCCATGTGCTGATCGACATAGGAACGAAGTCGGGGGGGATGAGGATGTTCCGGCACTCGGCTACCCTTGACCTCGTCTGACTTACGATCCATGGATCGTCTAACCTAGAACCCCGGTTCATTCGCCTGAGCGGCCAACCAGCCCCATTCAACGCAGGACTAAAAGCTGGGGTTGGCACCGTTAGTCAGTAACCTACTTAAGATGGGCGCGCTAAGGCCAACCACATTCAGAGATCGGGCCGCCTGTTTAAGGTGCTGACGTGTGGAGTGGCCGGACTGCATCCGGCTTTTTTCAGAACTCGCTCAAACCACTCACTTCTATTATTTCTAAAATACATTGTGATTGGCTATACAGTAAACTTAATCTTGTTACTGGGACCCGCGGCCAGTGCAGTCTGGCGTACCGCCTCCTCACCGACCTCCTCGAAGATGTCGTATCCCCAATTGCCCGGGAAGTTGAAGCGTTTGTGGCGTTCCAGCGAGGTCAACTGTGCAAAGGCCCCCTCCGGCAACGCCCGGACTCGCAAGTTAGCTGCAATGCGAGCCGGGGTGACACTCTTGGATAGTACGACGGTGCCACGCTGCACGCCCCAGCTGGCCAGCAGTGGTCCGGGGTCCATGCTAAGCTCGCCCGCCACGCGGTGCACCAGCGGGTCGTCCACCGTGCGCGGCTCCCCAGTCTGGTTGTTGCCTAGCGGAGAGTAGGCCTCGATGAGAATACCTTTACTCTGGCAGTATTGCAGCAGGTCCGGCTGTTGCAGGTAGGGATGAGCTTCGATCTGGTTGGCGGCGGGCACGACGGAGACTTGGCCAAGTAGCTCCTCCAAGCGACGGACATTGAAGTTGGACACACCAATGGCGCGTACCTTGCCCGTCGCTAGCAATTTCTCCATGGCGCGGTAGGTGGTGATGTAGTCAATGTCGGCCAATTCGAACACTCCATCCTCGTTGAGAGGAAACCATTTGTCGCCACCCTTGAAGGCACTGTACAAGGGGTCAATGCTTAGTCTCCACCAGACCACCCTGAATGATGGAGTAGATAGTCACTTACCAGGGCCAGTGCATGAGATAGAGATCGAGGTAGGCGACGCCTAGATCCTGCAGGGTCTTGTCGAGGGCTGGCTCCACGTCCTCCGGGGCGTGCTTGGTGTTCCACAGCTTGCCAGTGATGAAGATCTCTTCACGGGGCACCCCGGACTTGCGAATTCCATTGCCGACTTCGGTCTCGTTGCGATAGATGGCGGCGCAATCGATGTGGCGGTAACCCTCCTTGAGGGCTACTTCGACGGCGTTTTCTACCTCAAGGGGCTTGGCTTGCCAGGTACCAAATCCCACGGCGGGGATTTTGGCGCCGGTGTTGAGGGTAAAGTGCGAGGGTAGGGACATATTAGGCAACACTTCTATTTCTCTATGTCTTTGACAAGGAGACGACTAATAAGCTAAGATGGTGGTGGTGGTTCATATAGTCAAGCAGCACAACACAAGTGGGTCGGAAATCCGACAATCAGACGGCGGATAAACCAAGAGTTCGGAGAAAATGAACCCTAGAGCCAACAAGATGCCAATTGACTCCATTCTCATGATCCACTCTTCGTTTCTACCCCGCCAAACTCATCTCTCAGTCAAATGAACAGCCGCAACGTAATGCCGTTCAGCAAGAAGCCCGCCTTCGATGACTTGCCGCTGGACAAGACGGGTCCGCCTGGCAATGCATGGGGGTTATCCGGACCCAACGACCAGTGTGTTATGTTGAACCTTCTCACCCCCGATCGAACGTGTGCCGCCGTCAGCGAAATCCGCGATGGAATTCGCATTTCCACCGACTGGCCACTGGACCGGATCACCACGCCCGCATTCAATCGGGTTCCATTTACCCAGACCATCTCAAACATCGCCCCCACATCTGTCAACGATGACATCCTGCACTTCAACACCCAGTCCAGCTCGCAGTGGGACGGTCTGCGGCATTTTGGCTACCAGGAACAGCGACTGTATTTCAACGGCCGTACCCTCGACGAAATTCTGACTACGAAGGTTAATGGGGATTCATGGTCCGAAGAGAAGAAATCGCTGGAGCGGAGGCCAACCATGTCCCTGTGAAGCCTTTCACGACCCAGTCAATCACAGTCGCCGTCCTGGAGAAAGTGGCCCAGGCCCAGAGCACAGAGTTGAAACCGGGTGATGTCTTGTTCATCCGGGCAGGCTGGGGATGGGGTTATGCCGCATTATCTCGAAAGAAATTTCTGCGATGGCGGACATTTCCACGCCCCCAGCGATCGGCATCGAGTCATCAGAGGCCACACTCCGGTGGCTCTGGGAGAAGGAATTTGCTGCTGTCGCTAGTGACACCCCGAGCTTCGAGGCCTGGCCGTGCCAGGACTGCAAGTACTGGCTACATGAGTGGCTGCTGGCCGGTTGGGGGCTTCCGATCGGGGAAATGTTCGATTTGGAGCAGCTGAGCGAGGAGTGTCAAAGAGGCAGCGCTGGTCATTCTTTTTCACCAACGTTCCATTAAAGGTGAGTTATACTGCCGACTGTGATCCGTTTATTCCCGATCTATTGATAATCCGCTTCCTCGACTAGGTTCCCGGAGGAGTGGCTAGCCCGCCAAATGGAGTTGCCATTTTGTAGTGCTGAGAGATGTTTATATGGCCAGCTGGCCTGGCGTAACACACTGCAACCTAGACTACTCGTTACTCAGGTTTCCATGGTAACTCTGTACGATGTCACACAGGGACGGGGGGTTGGAAGTCGATGGGCATGGAGAATCGTTGGGGGAAGACAGCCCTAGAAGCCGACGAATCAAGCCACGGTACGTTGAATGCCTTCCAGTAGACAGAATATCCGACTAGGATATTTTCGAATTCATTTGGTGAAAGATGATTATACCTGCATGTTGTTCTACATGGAAATCTGCAAAACCTTACCCACAACTAGTGGTCTGAATACGGTACCATGCTATAGGTACGCCAGATCAACCCAAGCTCTATTACGGAGTGAGCGATTGTGTCATGACGGCAGAGCTTAATTTTGTCCATAATGTCTTCACTCATGACACGAGTGGAGGGTATGGGATAGGCTACTGACATAGAAACGTACCATCCTCCTGACTCTACCGGGACAGGGTTATGTGTCCCCGAGGTGATTCCGCGGGAAGCGGATATACATCGGAAATGTCGGACAAACAAGGAGATGGAATCAATACCAATATCAGGCAAGGTTTTGGATGCTATCACGCGATCCAGTCGGGTGGCGAGCGATTTAGGTTAGCCACCGCTATGGGTAAAACGGATGCGTGAAAAGCAACAACCTGAGTATACAATGATAGAGGAATAAAATTACTGAGTGGTAAAATCACTGAGTGGGCCATTGATCAGAAGGTCTGGCACTTGGGTGCATAGTAAAGTGCTGGATGGAGAGATAATGAGATGGAGATGCAAAAGCTGATGCATTCCGGACGTTCTTTGTCTAAAGCACTGGCACAGTATTTAAGCATGATCGATGCATATGAAACAGATCTGGGGAAGTTGACAGGCAACTCACACAGACCGGGGGTGGATCCAGCGGTGGTCTGATGCTGATGCCGATACGAAAGTCCGGAACAAGTCCGGTCTGGCCAGTGCCAGTCGCCAACCCCAGACTGGGGGATATCCGCTCCTTTCCCGCTCGTGGGGACCCCGCACTGACAGATGGGAGATAGGGTCATGGCATCTGGGGTACAGTTACCCGTGCAGCCGGGGAGCATTATAAACCCAATGATGCTCTGATGTTCGAAGGACATTAAATCCTTTTCCTTCCTTGTCTTTTTTTCGTAGAATTCTGCCCATTCACCCCCCTAAGTCAATATATTCCTTCTTAGCCACCCCTTGTGGCCTTGGCCCTTGATACTGTTCCGATATCGGCTGTTGTAGCCCCGACAGTACATACCTACATCATCTCACAGCATGGCGGAGATTGACAAGAAAGCATCATCTGATCATGTCGAGTCCACTGGGAAGCCATTGGACTTGGTGGATGAATCGTTCGAGGGCTTGACCCCGGAGGAAGAACGCGCCCTAGAGAAGCGCTGTAAGACTATTCGCTGGCTCCATACTAACTACTGGAGTAATCGTGTGATGCTGACTGCCGGCAGTGGTGCGCAAGATCGATCTGCATCTGATTTCTTCGTTGTTCCTGCTATTTATTTTCAATATCCTGGACCGTTCCAACATTGCCAATGCCCGTTTGGGAGGGCTACAGGAAGACCTGGGCCTTTCTGACACGCAATATCAAACTGCGGTAGCTATCATGGTATGTAAAGTAATCCCAATCCTGAGACGTGGAACAGTACTGATCATTGTCGGCGCACAGTTTGTCGGCTACCTGGTAGGCCAGGTGCCGAGTAACATTCTGTTAACGCGTTTAAAACCCTCCCGCTACATCCCCGCAGCCATATTCGTCTGGGGAGGAATCTCGATCTGCATGGCTGCGGTACATGGTTACGCCGGCATTATATGCGTGCGTATATTTCTCGGGTTCGCCGAGTCACCATTCTTTCCCGGGGCTTTGTAAGTACCCATTACCAGATCCAAATGATCTTGTCCCTGAAGGAATCCTAACGAGCGATACCATCAGGTTGCTGATAAGTTCCTGGTACAAGCCGTCCGAGATTGCGGTGCGAGTAGCCGTGGTGTATTGTGGAAACACCATCGCCAACGGGTTTGGCAGCATGTTTGCCGCGGGCGTCATGAGTGGATTAGACGGCAAAGGCGGGCTGGAAGGCTGGAGGTGGGTGATCTCCAGGCATATTCTGGGGGTGTGTCACTAATCAATATGCGGACAGATGGCTATTTATCATTGAAGGGGCTGGCACAATGGTGGCCGGGCTTCTCGCTGTCGCGCTTCTCCCGGACTTTCCTCGCTCCGGGCAGCGGAAGTGGCTATCAGAACAGGAGCAGCGCTTTTCCGAATGGCGTCTCGCCCGCGCCGCAAATGATGAAGTCGATGAGAATGGTTCCATCAGCGAGGGCTTGCGGGATGCATTATTAGATCCCAAGGCGTGGATGTTGATCCTCATCCAGGTTTGCCAGCTCACATCTCAAAGCTGGACCTACTTCTTCCCTGTGAGTACCAAGTATCATGTTTTCCAGTACTTTGGTTCTGACTTATGTGTTATTAGACCATCGTCAAAACACTGGGATTTAGCAATATCATCACGCTGCTGATCACGGCTCCGGTGTACGTCTTTGGCTTCATCAGCGCTCTTGGTAATTCCTTCATTGCGAATCGAACGAGCCAGCGCGCAGTCCTTATCGCGTGGCCTTTGATCGTAGACATCGTGGGAAACGTCATGGTCATATCGTCTCGAGCCACTGCAGTCAGGTACATCGGTATGTTCTTAATGTGCGCTGGTTCATATTCCGCTTTCAACGTCGTGCAAGCGTGGATTGCCAGTACGATCCCCCGGACACGCACCAAGCGGGCCATCGTGTACGCGTTGGTCAACCTCTTCGGTAACTCGTCCAATATATACGGCTCGTACTTCTTTCCCACATCCGACTCGCCACAGTACCGGCCTGGTGGTATCACCCTTTCAGCGTTTGCTGCTGCCGGAATCGTCTTAACTGGGCTGTTGGCATTGTATCTCCATACGCTCAACGTGAAAGCACGAAAAGCAGAGGAGGAGGACGGGCAGATTCGTTATAAGTATATCTGGTAATTGGTCGCTGAGCAAGTGCTGAGTGACGGGGTGGAATGAATGGAAACATACCAACTTGCGAGACTTCCCAAGGTTACTGATTGGGCAAGCCGGTCCTGCTGTAGCTGTGTCGTAGACACCATACCTGAATATGCAACAGCAACATTCCAATATCGGATTACCAGTAAATATGTGTATAGGACTACTAAATGACGTTTTCCTCGTCCCAGTCACGTTCGGATTCCGCATCAGCCGGGGTATGCTGGGTTAATTAGCACCTACTAGTCGTTCTTGTCGACTAGGAGAAAAAGAATGCTTACAGATAGGCAGGCTCTCTAGCTGTGGCCAGAAATCGAGCACCACGTTTTCGCCCATGATGAAGGTGTCCAAGAGGGATTGTGTCCTGGGATCCAGCAACCCTGGATCAATAGCGGGGTCCAATCCAGAGAATACGGTCGGCAACATGTTAGGATCAGGGTCATAATCCCTCACAGCGGTGGCTTCTGCCTGCTGCTCACGGCGACCCACCTCACCTCTATCTTCGGTCGGACGAGGGCTCCGTTCGAAAGGTGGACGGGATAGCTCAATCGGCTCGGTAGCTTGAGCGTCGCCAGTGTCCATCGGGGAGCCAAGGCGGGCCAGCTCATGTCGCAAACCCTGCAAGATGACGCTGTATTTCCAAGAAGGGGCGTTGCGAGCTGTTGCGTCGGCGAGGTGTGTCACTGCTGTTTCGGACAGTCTGTAGACTCATCCAAACCTGCATGCAAGGTGTGTTCCGGGCTCCGGACAAAGTCGAGACTAGCAGATGGCAGACGGTTGCGTCTGACCTGGATCAGGTATAGATAGATGATTGATAAAGCATTGAATGCGATGTACTGTGAGTACCAAAATGCTGGGAACAGTTCATCCTCACGCACAAAGCCAAGTATCAATTCTATGGCCTCTCGCGCTGCGGTAAGGCACAGATGCAGATGGTATCGGTAACTGCTGCGGTGTTCAGGCCACATTTGCCCATAATCCAATAATAAGAGAGGCCGCGTGATGAACATCAAGGCATGATGACGAGCCAGCTGCAGAACAGTCAACTGGCGCCGAAACACTGGAACCAAACTACTGGGCTGGATGACCCCGGAGAGGAAAGGAGGCAGTTCCGCTTGCCATTTCGCGACCTTGCCACACAGACCTTGAATGGTCTCAACTTCCGTCCAATCGGAGAGGCCCGAGAGAACGTAAGGCTCCTTGGCCGCCTGGGTGAGTATCTGTGCCAAGATCGCATGAAAGACTGGCGCATCCATCACACAGTCACATCTCGACAACCGCCTTTCCCGCGTTGTTAGGTCCTCATCATTGACGCGCGTGGGAAGATCTCCGTCCAAGTCTTCATCATGCCACAGTCGCGGTCGACCAAGGATCACACTCAGATACTTGTCCAGGGTATAAGAGCACCATACAAGGCGCCGTTGACACTCCTGCTGCACCAGATTCTCCTCTTCTTCATGGTGCCTCCTCGCCCATCGATTGTGCAAACCAAGTGCCATCATCAGCTGGACTGTGGTGCCAAATACGAACCACGCCTTCTGGGCTCGAGAGGAGCTGAGCAGATAAAGCACCATCAAAAAACGAGCTTGCACCGAGGCCAGAGTAGGGGCTCCCGTCTCGAGTGACAGCAGATGCTCTGCCTGCGCGTAGTAAAGCTCGCTGTTGCGCCAGCCATCCTCGTCGGCATCTCTCATTCGCCCGTCCTCATCCACGCGGAACATGGCTGCAGTACTCAGGAGCAAGAGCACGACGGCCTGGGATGCTACATCGAGCTGGCTGCCGATCCGGTTGCCCTCTGGATAGTCCTGGTATAAGCGCTGTACCAGGGGGTGAATGGTAGGCTGATGAAGCACGCGATATGTCGGCGCCGCAAACTCGAAATATCGGCGGATCAAGCTTCTGGCTTTGGCCTGGCCTGGCCAGACAAAATCTGATAGATGGACCTCGGGAACGACGCGATCGCCGTGGGAGAAGATGGAGACGGTTGCTGAGCCATCGGGATCCTGCGCAGGCGCAATGGGTTTGGAGGGACTGGCATGTAAGTCCTCCACGACCCTGCCCAAAAATGAGTGTGCTGAGCTCGGACCCCAGTACTGGCCAGTCCCGTCTACCGAGCCTCGTCGAACAGATGCATCGAGAATAGCAGACTCGGGAAGTGTGCCTGGCCCCGATGCAGGGCTGCTCTGCAGGCCTGGCCGGGAACAGTCTGTAACTGAACGAAGTACAGGGGGGGAATGCAGTGGCTGGATAACATCTGGGGCCGGATCTGGATTGAAGCTACGTGAGATGCCGTGCTCCCGCAGTGGACGATGGTTCTTGGTCCGCGACGATGAGGGAGGAGGACTGAGCGCCACACCCCGATTGTAGGCGGAGTCGTAGGTGCACGCCAAGTGACGGCGGGAGCAGGGACCACAGGGGATGTTGCCCGTACAAGCCTTCTTTTTGGCCTTGCAGGCATCGCAGGCGCGGGTCACCTTTCGGATCTTTCTCGCGCGCGTGGCGGGTGAGGCCTCCTCGCTGGCCGTCATTTCCGCTTGCTGTTGGAAAAGCTCCGCACACAGCTTTAACGGGCGGATGTAAATCGATAGTCAACCTCAGAACCCGCACATATGCTCTTTCGGATCGGACAGTCGGAAGCTGCAGCTCATGTGCTTGCCTGTAGGATGATCCAGGATGGTCCAGGTAGATTGACTGGCTATTATTGGGAGGGAAACCCGGTTCCTCGATCAGATCCGCCCGCTTGTTTCCTTTTTCCGCCACCATTTTCCGCTCTCGGCTGACTGGCAGCTGACTCAATTCGAGTAAAATTAGTTAGTTAGTTAACTAACTAGTTAACTAAGTCAGTCAGTTAATGCAAGCATGAGGAATCAGTGTCTATCAACAGTCCATAGCATTAGTTTTCTATGGAGTAAGAAGAAGTAAATGGGTTGGAGTGTTAAAACTTCTGTATGAGCACGACCGATTTGTAGTATCGATGCTGGTAGTGCTGTCGAGTAGTGGTTCTACTACTAGCCTTGGATGAACAGTTAATAGTACCAACTAGTAGTACTGGGAGCGGTTATTGTATATATTTCCGGTCCAGCGCGGCCAGGACTGATGGTAATGATGCTTTAAGTACTAGTAGTGGCTGACGGTCATAATCTCCAGACTAGTACCCAAATAGACAGTGAGTAATGAGCCTTATGTAGGGTTTAATAGCAGCATATCGAATAACAGGATGATTTGCAATTGTTCATCTGTCAAGTGCTGCAAAGCAAAGCAAAGCAGTAGTAGATGAGGGAAAGGGAAGATGCCGACCGGGAAAGCCCTGGGTCCCGTGCTCTGATTTCAGCCTGAGGCTCTCATGGATCTCAAATGGTCTCACGCCTCCTCCACTTTTGGAGAAGCACATCACACCCAACACCCAACACAACAGTATCATCACCACCGCACCTCTTCTCCAATTGCAACAATTTTTTTTTCTACTATCTACTATATCAAAAACCCACCCGCGAGTCCCCATATCGCATGTACCACCAACACTGAATGCCTATGGATCCCAAGGCCCAGATGCTCGACGACCGGTCAACAGCTCTGCCTCCCCACCCTCCCGCACCAGAAAGATGTCTTCGTGCCGTACCCCGAATCGATCCACCAGATACACCCCAGGTTCCGAGGTGAACGTCATACCGGCTTGAAGGAGAGTCGCATCGTTGCCCTTGTTCAGATAAGGGCTTTCGTGGGCTACCTCGCAACAACAGCATGAGCACGACTCCACAGACAAACCTCCAGGCCCCCCACACAGACGCTGGCGACTCACCTTTGATTCCAATTCCGTGCCCAACACGATGGGTAAAGGCTTCCCCGTACCCGGCGTCCGTGATCACCTCCCGGGCAGCAATATCAACGCTGGCCGCACTGGCGTCGACCCGGAACTGCCCTATGGATTGGGTTTGAGCTTCAAAGACAACGTCCCACACCTACAGCAGTCAGCCAGTTGATCTCGCTCACGTAGGGTAAGGATCGAGGTTTACCTCCAGCTTATCTCTCAAACGCGTCGGGGTGGGCATATCCGGTGTCGGTGGTTCAAGGAACGGCGGGAAAAAGGTTCGACAGATATCCGATGAGTACCCAAGGAGATGGGCGCTGACATCGGTCAGCAGCAGCTACGGTGGGACAGGGAACGGCCCTGTGTGCCAACTTACCCTACATCAATCAAAACAAAAGTTTCCGGCTCAAGCACCTTCGAACCGTTGGTGCCTCCATGTGGGTTGGCGGCATTCTCGTCTACCCTTCATGGTCAGTCTCGCACCTTTGCAGCGGTCGGACACATACCAAACAAAACAATATCGAAAAATGGCTCCAACCCAGCCGAGCGAAGAGTATTGTCCAGGGCCCTTGCGATTTCACTCTCGGTTAGACCGGGGTAGAGGCCTACTTAGTGTCAGTCCGTCCACAGTGCGACCGAGTGGGGGATCACGAACATTTGCGCATCTGCCGTACGGCTTCCACAGTCCCGGTATTCACGGCGCGAAGAATCCCCACCTCAGTGTTGGATTTGATCTGCCGGACGCGCTCCACTTCTCCCATCAGCCCAACGATTTCGAACCCCGAGTGACCGAGACCCCGTTGGATAAAGTCCCTCATTTCCTCGTCCACCATGAGTCGAGGTGGTCGATCATGTGCCGAGAAGATGACAGAATCCTTCAATGTATCGTATGGGTTCCAGTGTTCCTCCCAAGGAATGATCTCGATTGGCTCAAGAAACGGCATTTTCAACAGTCGGGCTCGCTCCGCCTCGAACGATGGGGCTAGGAATGTCGTCTTTGCGGTGACAAGGCCCGACGAATGACGATAAGGCTGCACCACCATAAGAAAGGGGCGTTCCTCCGGCTGAGCGATGTTAGTACACACAAGGGTTTCTGGGGAGAAATGGCGCTCACCTCCCAGACCTCCCATTCCGGCTGGCTCACATTAGCATAGTATTTGAACGTATACCCCGGCTCCACGACAAAGGCGTCCGCCCCATCGGCGACCAGAGCCCTCGCCAGGCGGTTGCGGCGCTCATCGAACTCCTCAACTGCGATAGGCGCAGCTGTATCCAGAAAGTAATACCCTGTTCCTCGGAGATTTTCAATTGAACATCTCTCGAAGGATTCATATGGTGAAAGTGAAACCGACGACGGTTGCGGGAAGGGGCTGAAGAGCGACAGCCTCTGCCTTCGAGTCAGACCCCGGTCGTCGATTCTGATGGGGACGCCTACTTACCGGGAAGAGCGCGTAGATGCTAAGCAACAGTAGACCAGCGCTGGTAATAAAGCGCAGAATAGATCTCCGGCATTGATGCGGTGGTTGGAATAGCGGTCTTTCCTCCGCCAGTGGGAGAGACTCGGTCTGCTTGTCCAGCATGATGCTGCCGAGAGGGGGAAGAATACAGAATTTGTTTCAGGGATCCAGACAATGGATTTATCGCCGTGCTGCAGGAGTCGGGGGAGATCCGAGCGCTTGCAGGTCTGGAAAAGAGGGGAAGATGCGCTGAAAGGATGCTAGATGGAGATTCCCCGCCCGGCTGGATCTTCCTTGATTGGATTCTCTAGCATCTCCCTTGGCGACTCGCAGCTTATCGCCGAATGTCGCGGTTGGTCCGCCATCCAGGCTGTTCTTCATTGGGCTTATCAGAGATGTTAGTCCAGTCTCTTGCGGGACAATCGAGGCTCGGATCGGCCGACAGACGGGACAGATAGGCAGGGCGCAGCAGAGATAAATACACGCACCTCGTCATGGCTCGATTGAGTAGGATTTAGGAAACTGCTTGGCCTTTGAGGCAGACGCAAGGTTGACCGCTGAGATGGCTCGCAAAGAGGATCGAGACTCGGTACGGACGACGGAAGCAGCTCAGCCTGCCAAACAGACACAGGTGCAGATATCGCCTGATGCCGCTGACGATGTCGCCCCAGACCAAGGCTGTCGAAAGACCTCCAAATTCTCAGTCTTGCTGATGATCGTGTTCTCCGGTCTGGCCATTGGCTCTGACGGTTTCAACGCATCTATAATCGGCAACCTCGAATTGGTCATGGAGGTCATCTACCCAAAGGCTCTCACCACGGCTGTCGCATCTCGTTTGTCCAACGCCTTTATGGTAGGTATGATCATTGGCATGTTGTCCTTCGGATACTTGTCCGATAAATTGGGCCGCAAGACCGGCGCAGTCTTGACCACCGTCATCCTCGTCCTAGGGATCGCATTGAGCGCTGGTGCTAGCGGAACAGATCGAGATGGAATGTTTTGGATGTTGATTATTGCGAGAGGAATCGCTGGCGTCGGCGCGGGTGGGTGAGTCTCACAGTCATCTCAAGTACTCTCGCAACTGTTACTCACTCGTTCCCCAGGGAGTATCCGGTTGCCGGGGCTGGTGCTGCAGAAGCCACCGATGAAGATCTGGGTGTCCGAAACAAACGAGGCTTCATCTTTGCCATGATTGCTGACCTGTCGGCTTCCCTTGGGTTCGCCTTTGGTGCCCTAGTCCCCCTGCTGTTGCTTCTGTGCTTTCACCAGGAGGTCCGTCATTATGAAGCTGTCTGGCGGATTTCACTCGCGCTGGGGGTAATTCCTCCGCTCTCCATCTTTTGGTTTCGATACCGAATGGCTGTCAGCTCGGCTTATCGCAAGAGCGCGATGCAGAAGCAAACAGTGCCCTACTGGCTGGCACTAAAGCGTTACTGGCGTCCGTTGTTAGGCACGTGCGGCTCTTGGTTCATGTAAGTAATGCAGTATACGCTAACTATTGTCCGTTGTGATTCTAATCATATCGGCAGTTATAACTACATCTCGTACCCGTTTGGGCTATTTTCATCAACAATTGTCGGTCGCGTGAACCCGACCTCCTCTCTCGCACTGACAATGGCCTGGGGCACGCTCATCAACTGTTTTTACATCCCCGGGGCATTCATCGGGGGCTTCCTGTCCGACCGGATTGGGCGGCGGCGGACCATGGCGCTCGGGTACTTTCTCCAGGCTGCCCTGGGCTTTATCCTGGGTGGCGCGTTGGGACCCATCGAAAAGTCGCTGCCACTCTTTATTGTGCTCTATGGCGTTTTCCTCACGCTCGGAGAGGTGGGTCCCGGATCGACGATTGTTGTGACAGCCAGTGAAAGTTTCCCGACCGCGATACGCGGGCATGCCGTGGGATTTGCAGCGGCATGGAGCAAGGCGGGGGCGGCCATTGGGACGGCGGTTTTCAAGCCTATCCTGGCTAGCTGGGGAGATGATGAGTTTCGCGGCACGCAGGCCGTGTTTCTCATTGGCTCCGGGTTCGCCGTCCTAGGGGGGCTCTTGGCCTGGTTTGTGTTCCAGGATGTGGATCACGCGCTGGACAATGAAGACCAGGCTTGGAAGGACTATCTCGCTGCTAATGGCTATGGGGATGTGCAGTGGGGCATTGCAAGTAGCTCATCGCATGAGCCGGAACCGAAGGCAGCGCAGACGTAGTCTCGGAGACTCCGTGGTCACTATAGAGTTGTCGGTTTGCAGGTATGCTGCCGAGCAGTACTCGAAAGTATCTCATTATGATCGTATATCCTCTAGCGTCTTAAGCATCCGGGGGAGACTCGTATTCTTCAGCTTCAACGAGGGCATTGCCGTCGCTTAAACATTTCAAATTCAGTTGAATGGGAGTGCGATTGGGTGCCGCAAGCCTGCCCTTAATGTTGAGGGCATATGTTGCCGTTCTAGACCCAGAGGCTCGAACTTAGTTTCATGCAGGAACTGACAGGGTTAGGTCAGGCCATATGGGCCATCGCGTGCGGTAAAAGTAGCCGACGGTGCGCAGCATCTCAGGTCATCTATATGCATTCAAAGGAACGTAAGACAAGAAACTTGCACACAATGGTCTCGATACGTTCCAGCAGGCACATGGCAGATAAAATTATATTTCAAACTAATATCTTCGTCTGCAAAAGTTCATCACAGTCTCTTTCTGGCCATCCCCACATGAAGAAGGTAATGAAGCCATCTTCGAAGATTCCCGTGAGCTGGTGGACCGCAAGCACTTCGCCCCAGGGGGGAAGTATCACTGTAAGTATCCCAAACCCCTGCACACGATTCTCATCCCACTGACAGGCACTAGCCATCGTCAAGCTATTCATGCGATACGAAGGCCAGGAGCCTGACGACCAGCGTCATGCCATAGGCACGGGATAGCTTGTTCGCGATGACACCCTCGTGACCGCTGGTCACTGTGCCTTTGACCGGAGCCAGAACGATGGGAAAGGGTTCGGTCGGGCGATCGAGGTTAAAGCGTACATTGGCTACAACGGCAAAAGGTCTATCAATGACCCCGACGTCCAGTTCCGGCACGGCGTCCAGATCGTGACCACCGAAGGATGGCTTCAATCTGGGGTGAATCGCCATCAAGACGTGGCTTTTATCCGGCTCGATCGGCCCCTCACCTATGTCACTACCCTTTTCAAGCCGACTGAGACCCCCTTGATAAGCAAGGATATCATTTTGGCGTAGTGGGATATCCCGGTGATATGCAGGTGGATGGAGAGTTTGGCGCACAGATGTACGAAGAGTTCAAGACTGTCGAATGGAATCGGCGCAAGACAGCGAACCAGATGCTAGAGTATCGCATCGATACATACAAAGGTGCAATGCAAAGTTGATATTATTAATTCTACCTGCTAACTCTCATCTTAGGTCAATCAGGGTCTCCAGTCCTTGTGCAGAATCAGCCTTTGATCTCCATCGGTGCTCATGTCTATGGGGAGCTGGAAATAACTCAGCCAGTCCCATTGGAGGGGAGTATGGAAATCCATACCATGAGTACGTTTCCGTTCTCCAGAGACAGTATCCTATCCAGACGACTAAAGCCGGCATCAAGTACGTCCGTGTGGGCGGGGACAGCATGGACAGGAAGTCGGATGCAGAGGACGCCTTCTGGGACGACCTGAAGGATGTGCTCAAAGTCGGCGCACCAATGATCTCGGGCGCCCTGCAGACGGTCAGTCCATTCTTGGGTCCCATTGGAGGACCAATTTCCGCTCTAGCTGGCACTGCCATCTCCGTGGCCGCCAAACGGAGTGTCGAGAGTGGGTTTACTGATGCCCATCCGGGTGAATTTGCTCAGTCTCGCACGGCCGAAGAAGCCATCCTGTCCGAGGCTGCGCTGCAGGCCTTCTTGCGGGCGGATGCTGACCGTATGAAACAGCTCGGTATCAGCACGCGGATTATGGAGGAGTACAAGAAGGCAGCTGCAGATGTTGATATCGTGGCGCCTACGATCTTACCGGCCATTTTGCCGGCGGCGTTGCATCTCTCGCAAGATATGTACACCCAAAAGGGTGCAGAGGCAGGTAGAGAACCATTCCATCCGACATCGTACGGTCGGCGGGAGCCAATCCGCCTCCCAAGGGATTTTCGATGACTCGTTCACGCACTACCTGCTCAAGTTGGTGGAGCGCGAGACGGAGAATGAGATCTTCTGGGGCATGTTGGGTTCGGTGCTGTCGGCTGCCTCCAAGGGGGCAAATGCCGTTCAAACTGGACTATCTGTCATTAGCAAGATGGTGCCGACGACTGAGGCTGCCTTTGAAGAACAGCCAATGGACCCGTACCTGAAGGTCTTGGGCCGTCGTGCCCTGCTCGCCGGGGCGACTCTGCAAGTGCTCCGCAATACGCCACCAGAGCAGCTCAAGACAGAGGACTTCTTCACCCGCATCCAATATATCATGCAGAAGATCGGGCCTGCGGTGATGAAGTATGCACCTGTGGTGGTCTCGGCGGTTCGTCCAGTTCTCATGCCTATTATTCAGCCTCCAGCAGAACTACTTCTCTTGCTGGATCCTCGTCGTCGACCCTGGAGGTGCCAGGAGGAGGCGTCGGTGGGCTGAAGAAACGACCGAGTCAGACCTTCTTCAACAAGATGATGGGCACAGCCAATGGTAAAGTTTCTGCCTTTTTCATGATGGTTAGGAATGATTTGAAAATAAAGTAGGATTTAGAGTGAAAGCTGCTCCTGCGTGAGCGTGTTTTCGAGAGCCAGGATGCGACCGAGGCTAGTGGATACAATCAAGATGGGTTGATGTGGACCAGTATGAATGACGCTTGAAGAGTCATATAGACCTCCTGTGTGTAGAGTGCGGAACCCAGTGCCGGGAATTTATTGATCCCCTATCCACTGTCGCAGGATATTCTAAAAGTGATGAAATCATTCGCCCCAACCCATCCTTGGGCTACAAGTAGTAATACTCTAGGAAGAGATTCGAAGGAATGTTCTACCACACTCATGGATGAAGACGGGTATATTACGAATATATGTATTGTCTTTATCATCAATCATACAGGATCTATCTTCCTTCTGTACCATGCTAAGCCTGGAGAGATCCGAGAATGTACACATCTCCGACGAGGCTCAGCTTTTCAGATGTACTTTTTCTCAGTTCAATATCTCCTTGCAACCCACCACTGCGTAACAGTTTGTCATCTACTTCCGAAAAGACACCGGACTAGGCAAGGCAGTCGGGGTGTTGTCGCGGGATCGCGTCTGCACCAGATGCTCAAAAGATGGCGCATACTCGACCCGCGGAGTGAAAGGGTCAAAGTCCCAGAGATAGCCCAGGGTGCGCAGGATTGACGAAGCGGAGTAAGACACGGAGTCGCCGGTGATGCTAGTGCCCTTTTGCTCGACATATCCCTTACCCACCCAGGGGGAGATCAGGAGAGTGGGGATACGACCACCCAGACGGTTGAAGTTGAAGGTATAGTCCTTGCCATTCGGGGTGGTAGCCGTGTAGGTGAGGTTGTCCGGCCGGGGAGCCAGGGGCGGAGGCACATGATCATGGAAACCACCAGTCTCATCAAAGCTGAGGATGAAGAGGGTCTCATTCCACTGGGGACCGGCGCGCAGAGCGTCGTAGACGTTCTTGATCAGCTTCTCGCCGTCGGAGACCAGACCGCTGGGGTGCATAGAGTTGGTGCCGACACCGCAGCACGAGGGGTTAACGTAGCTGAATTCCGGCAGAGCACCAGCGGCGGCATCCGTGTAGAACTTTTCCAGCGCCTTGACCTTGTTGGTGTTGTTGGAGGTGTAGGTCCAGTTGTAGAACTCAGCATCGGGACCCGTGCCACCGGCCGTGTCCCAGTAGTTGATCCAGGAGTGGCCGGTCTCAGTCAGCTGCTGGAAGATGGAACGCTGGGGAAAGGCGTGGTTATCAAAGGCCTCGTCGTTGGTTCCATGACCATACGAGGTACCCGAGGTGAGTGCAGCCCGGTTGGGGTTGGTCGGCTGGATCGGGGTTAGCAACTTGCCATTCACAGGTCACAATTGGGAAGGAGATACGTACGCCAGGCACATCTGAGTGCCAATGGTTGAAGACGACAAAGTTCTGGACGAGCTCGGTAAGCACAGGCACCTGCTGCTCGGTGTAGTAGTTCATGACCTGCACGGACAGCTCGGTGCGGTTGGCATCGGCGCTGTACAGGCGCAGCTGTTCGGTGACGAATCCCTGCTGGGAGGGGGTCAACTTGCCCTGGGCGATGGCCGCATTGTCGGGAGTGAAGGTGCCATAGAACTCGATGTTGTTGCCATAGACCGCATGGTCGGGATCATCGGTGACCGAATCGTAGTCTCTGGCCGCACTGCAGACGATGCCCTGAGAGAGATCGGTGATGTTGTAGGGGTTGCAGAAGGGGCCGTTATTGATAGGGTTCTCCAAGCCCTTGATGGTCTGACCTCCCAACAGGTTGTCCACGGAGCGGTTCTCCATGACTAGGACCACGACATTCTTGATCTTGGACTTGAGATTCTGGATGGCGGAGTTGGAATGAGCCTGATGGCTAGGGTTTGCCGGGATGGCCGAGGCAGCGGCAGCAAAGGCCAGCAGACCGACCAGCGCACTGGGATGCATGATGAGCCAGTTGGAGATTGAGGTACAGATTGGAGAGGCAGAATGCAATACCCTGGTGACAATACAAGCCATTGGCAGGATGGTCGAGGGGGAGCCTTCTTATAGCATCTTTAGGGTGGATATAGAGCTGTCACTCGGACAGGTTTTCTTCCCATCTCTCCCCCTGCAGGGTCTGCACGTGGTGGTGTCAAGTGGTCGAGAAACCATCTGTTCTGATTAAAAGAGTATATTTCATGAGTTAACCGAGCCATTCGCATGGGCTCCATTATCCATTATTCACCACCCCTCTTACCCATCGGCAGGAACACGAAGCACGGGTGCAGCTCCAATGGCATCGATCTGCAGGGGCACGAGGCACGGGGTCGGAGGGTATTTCGAAGGGGTCTCCCCACATCTGGAGACACAACCTATCTACTACCGACTACAACCTTGACTGTTGAGTGTGGCCGAGGCTTGTCCTACCGTCCGTCTTCATTGCTTGCCGATGCACGATCATCGGGGATCGACAGCCCCCGTGCGTGGTCACTTTCGCATGATTGGCTGCTACCGGCCACCCGGGATAATTACTAGTACTTTGACTGGGTAGTACTCCATACGATGTGGTGGTGTGAAATGACAACATGTCAAGCAATCATGCCAGAAGGAATTACTTTGTACGTGGAATCTATCGATTGGAAAAGCAGGAAGGTAGAGAGTAAGGGCACAGCGGTAGAATGAAAAAGATCAGGAGGAATCCCCCGATCGGTAGCTTCCGGGCCGCTCCGATACAACACACACACAAAGAGCAGAAGAGGAACAGGAACAGGAACAGGAAGGATAGTAAGGGTTATAGAAGTAACAGTAAATTTACAATAGAGTGTCAACTCACAGTGAACATCTATGACATATTATCGGATGACGAGATGGTCCTCGCATTGACACCCCAGGGGGCAAGCCCACTAGGCCATAAGGCAGCAAGGCGATAAGGCATAAATAACATGGTGCCTGACTGCCTGACTGCCTCGGATATCTTAATTCGATGGCATCTTTTCACTGTAAGCGGATTCTTTAATGGTGATGTGATAATCTCCTTCCAGCTGCCTCAGTAACACACATCAATTTAGTCATCCACATTTACCCCCCGCCTCCATCACGAAATGAATATTTTCTGTCCCGTTCTATCCTAACTGGTCCCTTCCTCATCGCATCCGCGCACCGCATTGGGAATAGTACCCTCACCCGGTTTGTCCATCCACCTGATATCGCAAACCACAGGAGGGCCCTTATAAAATCATTGCGCAGTCGCAAACATGGCGACGGTACCATTTCTTGACTTTGCAAGTGAACCCTCCACTTGGTATCATCCACCATGACCGCATCACCCAACCCATTACCTCGCGACCCCGTTCCCGGTTATGTCGTGACCTATCGCGGCAACGTCGTGGAAAACAGACACCAAGTCCATGCCGCCGTCACCGATGCCGCGGGCCGCATCATCTATGCTGTGGGAAATCCCACGCGTGTCACTTTGGCCCGCTCGGCTGCGAAACCTGCCCAAGCCCTGGCAGTTCTGGAAACCGGCGCCCCAGAAAAGTTTGACTTCGACGAAGCCGATCTGGCGCTGATGTGCGCCTCCCACAGCAGTGAAGATCGCCATCTTGCCCGTGCCCGCGCCATGCTGGCCAAAGTTGACCTGCAGGAAGAGAACTTGCGTTGTGGAGGTCATGCGGCCCTGTCGGAGTCCGTCAATCGAGCATGGATCAAGCGGGACTGGACGCCGACGGCCATCGCAAACAACTGCTCAGGAAAACACGCCGGCATGCTTGCCGGTGCAAAAGCTCTGGGAGCGCCTCCTGCAGAGTACCACTGCATCAATCATCCTCTCCAGCAGCAAGTCATGCACGCCGTCGAGGAGTTGGCGGGCTTGCCCTCGGATCATGTCCAATGGGCCATTGATGGCTGTAACCTGCCGGCCCCCGCGCTACCCCTGCAGCATCTAGCCGGCATCTACGCCCGTATCGCCAATGCAGCCGACGTAGCCTCTACGGATCACCCGTCTCCACGGACACAGGCGCTAGCTCGCATCTTTCGAGCGATGGCAGGCCATCCAGAACTGGTGGGGGGAGATGGTCGGTTCTGCACCGCGCTGATGCGGGCATTTGAGGGGGGGTTAATTGGCAAGGTGGGAGCGGACGGCTGTTATGCTATTGGAGTGCGTGCTTCAGGCTACACCCAGCAACTGGGGATTAGCGGGGCTCTGGGAATTGCGGTCAAGATTGAGGATGGCAACCGGGGAGTACTTTATGCCGCTGTGGTCGAGATCTTGCGCCAACTCCAGATCGGCACTCCCGCGCAGCTGCAGTCGCTGGAGGCATTTCATCAACCCGAGATCCGAAACACTGCCGGCGTGGTGACGGGGCACACCTCGCACCAGTTTCAGATCAGCTCGGTATAGGTAGTAGGAGGGAAGTTACATATCATGGAATCATCTTTTAGTACAGACGATGAGGGTCTTATCTGTGGAGGAAGGCCACCCACACAGCCTCAACGAGTGGAACAGGATACCTACTATAGCCCTTGAAGGTACATAGAAGAAACTTATTACTAGTAAGTACTAGCACTGCTATGAGTAGTAGATAATAAATATCCTGCTTGTACTACGTATCAACTTCACGCCGACATCGATATATATTTTGGTTCCGGGGTTACGGATAGTACTAGTCAATCGCGATGCTACTGCCATTAGTTTGTAACAAATATGAGTCCGAGTGCTGCGAAGTGATGACGGAGGTCTCTGATGACAGACAACAAGATAAGATGACATATTGCCTCGCTGTCATGCAGATAGCGGCTTCGAGAAGGATTCTCTGCCTTATCGCATGGGTGAATGCTACCCTCGGGTGGACCTTCTCCGGCAGTTGGGCTTATCGTGAGGAGTCAACACCGATATCGGGGCCAAGCCCTTTATCAATCATCATTCTATCAGTTTCCGTCCACTCGTCTATGGACCCTGGAACCCTTCTAGCTGGATAGACTAGCAATCTTCCCATGTCAACTCCATGTGGAGAAACTTTGATAAGACCATGTGGAGGAGATAGCAAGCCTCCACAGAACAAGACCATCTCCCACTGCAATCACGGCTGGGTTCCGAACAGACCCGCGTGCCAGCGCTAACATTTGGTATATAAATTGCTGCATCCAGGCAAGATGAACTGTAGAAGAAGCCAGGAGCTATCATCTCATCAACGGGGAAGTGCCACTGTCGGACGTGAGCAGCGACACGGCTACCCACATCGCCAGTGGATATCTGAACCCGCAGAAGTCGCGCATTCTGCTGGGATTGCTGCTATCTCAGGGAAAGAATATCACCGAGATTGCGGAGGTCTTTGCTTTGGGCACGGATGCATAGGTATCGATGGAAACATTGTATATAATAATGACCGCATGTAATGATCATGATGATAGATTGCAATAGAAAGTGATATAGTATCAGCAAAGGACACCGAGCGCTTTCCCCAGAGCTTCGTAAATAACTTTATCCTACCGACTACGACAACACTTGATCTCTTATGTCTTCGCCCCCTCGTATTCAGACCGTCGGACATGCAGGGTGCGTTGCGCCCGAAGGATCTGAGGACAAAGTGACACGAGCCAAAGGCTGATCCTTGCATATCGTAGGGCACCTCACGTTCATTGCCGGTGGTTTTATGTGTCGAGCACCGGGTCAGGTAGGACCCAGCCTTGTGGTATTTTGTGGGACAAACAGATGGTAGCCCACCTACCGATGAGACGGTCTCCTGTCGTCATTGCACCAAGACACAAAAGGGATTCCGCAAGGATCGTCACTATTTACTTCAATATTGATCACACGCACCACGCAAAAGCTATCCAGAGATTCCTTATCAGTTGATCTGGACCGCAATCCTGTTTCAGAGAGTAAGAATGAAGCATAAATGGTATAGCCCAAGCCTTAAAGATGTCGTAAGCTGGGATCTTACTTTCGGTGTAGATAGAGGGGTTAGGTGGTATTGGGGCGACTAGCCTTTCTGCTTACAACCCATGCGAGACACTTCACTTGGGATTACAGAGAATTGCTAATCAGGCGTGACAGGATATAAGGCACGATGATCAATTGGCATGTCGTCCGCGGACCTAGAGGAGGCGAAGACCCATAATTGATCGTTATGATTCGCGGAACTCCCGGGGTCTTCACGGCTTTCGATAATGCGGGATCGGATCCTCTCAGCCTCGTTTATGCAAGTGAGATTCCGAAGGGCTCTCTTGCACCTTAGCTCTTTGACACTCCCATTCCTTGCTCACTTGCAATAGATTCTATAGGCTAATTTGTAAACCTGCTGAAAGAGGCCGCTGATGATGATACAGGGCAATCTAAATAAAGAATGGAAAAATATCCTTGATCGATCATAACACAGGCCTGTTAATTATATCGATTTGGGGATCAGTTCAAGCCCATCGTCGATAATTGTCCTCCAAAGATTCTGCCACTGCAGAATGGAGCTAGGCAAGACCGGGTTTCAGACGGTCGCAGAACCACATCCAACTCATCTAGTCGAGGGAGGGATAGGCCTAACCATCCGTCTATTGTGCGAATCAAGAGTGACTGATCAATCATTGTGGAACTGCAGAATCTAAATCAGAAGGTGACGGTGGATGATCTTCGTCGCGCAGTGCCCGATTACTGCTTTACGCCGTCCCTGTTCTGGTCTTGCTTCTACCTGTTTCGAGACCTGGCATATGCGGGGATCCTACTGACCGCACTATATCAGCTACTACAAACCAGCGCAGTGCAAAATTCAACCCCGCTCTACTACCTCACGGTCAATGTGTATGGAGTATGTCAAGGCATTGCTTGGACGGGACTCTGGGTGATTGCACACGACTGTGGCCACAGCGGCTTCTCACGCTGGGGTGTGGTGAATGACACCGTCGGATTCGTCTTGCACTCCTTTCTCCTCGCCCCCTACTTCTCCTGGAAATTGTCTGATCGGCGACACCATATCTATGCCAATCATATTGAAAAGGACCTAAACTATGTGCCGCCTCTGCGCCAGTCCTACGCTGACAAGATCGGCCAGGCGGTCGAGGTGCTCGAGGATATAGGTCAGGATGCGCCCTTCGTCCTTTTCCTTCGCATTTTGCTGCAGCAGACCATCGGCTGGAACTGGTATATCCTGACCAACATCACCTGCCCTCCTACAGCTATTCCCAGGAAATGTTTGTCGCGTCACAGCCATTTCGATCCCCAAGGGGCATTGTTCTATCCCTCCGAGTGGCTGTCCATTGTGCTGTCGGATTTGGGCTGTTTCACTGTGATCGCCGGCTTTTATCAGCTTTATCAGCAGTTTGGTTCGTTCGAGACGCTGTTTTGGGTTTATATTGTGCCGTGGACATGGGTGCACCACTGGGTCGGTATGTGCAACCCTCCCCTTTCCCTGACAAATGAGGTTATCTGACAATATCTGTGTGAGTGCTTAGTGATGATCACGTATCTGCATCATACCCACCCATCGGTGCCCAAATACTGCCCTGAATCGTGGAGCTTCCTGCGTGGCGCGACCGCGACCATGGACCGCGACTTTGGCATCATTGGAACGCATTTCTTCCATCATATCTCAACCGACCACGTCACTCATCACTTATTCTCACGCATTCCGCACTATTATAGCCCTGTAGCTAGCAAGGCAATTATTCCGCTGCTTGGCAGCACTACCACGGACGGGGTGCATTCAATCACCAGGAGCTGCAGACGGCCTTCAGTCGGTGCCAGTTGGTGGAGGAGGACCCTGGAAAGGACGTAGCCTTTGGTTTACGGGCAGTGGAGACGTTAAACAACAAGGACGCAAAGAACATAGGGTTGTGGTATCGTGGGGGACGCAGCCCCTTGCCAGAGTTCAAGATGCGCGAAGCCAAATCATTCTAGGGACCAAGGAGCAGAATCCATGGTAGTGAACTTTGGAAGGAACCTGGACCGGTTGAATTCACTGCAATTGTCGGGGCTGCTGCCTAAGACGCCTTTGTCATGATTGCCTGCCTCATGTCTTCCCTTGTAATAAATTCCTGCCATTGCCAACACATAGCACTACTAATGACTTTATGGTCATCACCTTGAACCAAACAGCCTTTCGCCAATAACAATATAAAGCGGATTCACGATGGGGTAAGTCCACTGTGCCGACAGATCCCAGCCGGAGTCTGACATTGGACAGATACACCCACTACTACGGCGTCCGTGACACTCACAGCACAGAGTGGGTCACCGCATGGCCGCAGCTCGTGCAGGATGAAAGCGTGTAGTCGACGCGACTGATGTTCCCTTGTCCGGTCCAACTGACGACCCCCGGGACGACCATGTCACGCCGCCCCTGGTCGATGAGATCGAAGGCATTGACATCAACGGTGTTGCAAAGATGTCGCATGAGCCTCTTATAATCCATCCCAAGAATATTCGTAGTTTCGAATTCGTGAAAACGTCCGGCAAGCCGTATGACACGGCGGTGGGCTGCATCCTGCTGCGGGCACACGTCTTGGCCCCGAAACAGTTTCATCTGAGGTAAAGAGATGCACTGCCCTGACTAGTACGAGTCTCGGTTCTGATATGTGCCAGATCTGATGGGTCCTGGGATGAGATGGAATGGAAGTTGGCCCGTAATCTGTACGAGTCTCTCTGGCCAGACCAACTCCCTGACGCGGCAGTTCTTGGATGAGGATTAGGCAGAATTGGAGGAGGAAGAGAGACAGGCTTGGAGAAGATTTTACAAAACACTGAGATAGGCTTGTTCTTACAGTCAATACCACTATTGAACGTCTAGAGTGCTCCGACTCATTGCTCGTGAAATGAATTCTCTCCTAATCTACCCTTCTCCGGGGTATTCTATATCCCTAAATTAACATAGGCCGAGCAAGCAGTTCGCCAGTCACCATCAGTCCCCAAGCCAGATATCCCCGGTCGAGGGTACGCCCACAATCCATGACTGGTTGAAGTACTGTTGGAGAACCTTTTGTGCATAGGTCTGATCATTGACACAATAATCTCCCCCTGTTGGCCCGATATGTGGACAGTGAAGCGCCGGATCATACTGCACCATGTGCTCATGAACCTCCCGACATAACAGAGTGTTCCGACCTAGCTCGTAGTCCTTCCCGAGCGGAATTGCCGTGGTCAGGAACTCAAGACAAGCCGTATTGTTATCGTATTGTTGGTTTGCACCGGTGCAGTACTGATCATGCGTTGCGCAGATGGTCGTGGCGAGGATCTGGGTCAGTGATGCCGTAGCCTGGCTGGTCGTGCCGTTGATGGACTCGGCCAACGCCTCCACCAGGGTATCCAGCAGAAATCCGAACCAGCGAAAGGTGGCATCATATTGCATAATGCGTCCGTCGGAATCCCACATGATCCACGTGTCAATGGTGACCGGTACCAGCAGATTGCCGAAGGAGGTGGCATTAAAGGTGACAACCGTGGTCGCGGATGCGATATTCCCCTGGGCAATGAACTGCGTGATGCTATAGTCAACGGGAACCCCAACTAGGCTAACGTGGTCAGGGTCCGAAAAGAGCCCAAAGATATACTCCGTGTTCAATTCGCTGCCGTTGAACACGCGGGTGATGTCTACTCGACCTTGTACCTGCCGGGAGATGTCAGCGACTATGTAGAAGGACAACTACCCCTCCACATACATCCGGAGTAAACAAGGTGGAATTAATGGCCTCCATCTGCTCAACATTGGCAGGATATAGGAAATTGTCCCAGAAGGTAGTTTCCAACTTCCACAGCTCATCGACCGTATAATTCGGCGCCGTCGTGTTGGCCCTCCCCAACACCTGGGGAAGCCACAACACCCCGGCTGATATAGTAGCCAGCAAGAGACGCATGCTGAGTATAATACAGACTTTGCTGATATTTCGAGTAGTCAAAAATAGCTTGCCTGAACCTCTGCACTGGAAGAGCATTTAAATATTGACTGGTAAAAAATGTCAGGTGATGCCAAGACCAGGCGTACACCTAAGAATGCCGGTTGGTATGCAGTGAGGCCAATCATGAGAACGCATTGAGCAATCATGAGGAATCGTTAATTGCACCCACAACAGCCGTGGCATGCCAATCTGGAGATCTCATTGGATGTACCAGTTTGCAAAATCCTCAGCTTGCCACGAGGGTCATTACTATTCTATTTTGGCCTGCCGAGAACATCATCTGAGCCGGCCTTGGGGTCTACGTGTGGAGTAGGCTAAGGTGAGATGTGAAATCCCGTGCTATAGTTCCACCTCTCCTACTTATTCTAAGCTGATTAGCGACATCCTCATACCCTGCTGCGCGGACCTTAAGAGTGAATTTCCTTGGGGATAACCGGAGGAATATTATAGTATTGTGCTAAATTGCTATCTGGCTTGTATGATGGGAGTCCCGACACTTCATTGATATTGCCTAGAGGGCAACTGAGGTAGCAATGTGGGTTTGGGATGGGGACCCAGAATATAAGAAATTTAATATTATTGCGATATGTACTACATTTAGAGTCATTCGATGTACTACTAGCACGGGATCACATCACAGTACAATGAGTATAGAGTTTGCGAAGGTCTGAACAGGCAATAGTAATTAACATGATTAACGATAATCAGTCTGAGGGGGGGGAAGGTTGACAATCAAATTTCACAGCCAAAGGAGAAGACCATGCGAATCAGTAGCCGAGAACACCCGGGGTGCGCGGCTTCATGGTCACATCAAGCTTGACGCCGGTCCAGTGATATGACGAGAAGGTGTCCCGCTCAATATCAAAGTCATTGTTCACCAACTCCAAAGAGTAAAGATATACAAGTTTGGCGACACATATCCGGAACATCTGGTACGCCATCTGTCGCCCTGGACACTGGCGTGCGCCGATAAGAAACGGCCGCGAGGCTTTGAAATTATCCTTGCAATTTTGGTCGATCCACCGGTCGGGATTGAAGATATCGGGCTTCTCCCAATACTGAGGGGCATGGCCCAGAGTATAATGGTCTACCGACACCGCAACCTGGCCCGGTGCTTGATGTCAGTGAAGTGTCTCCATAAATCCAGTCTAAAGGAAGAGAAAAGTTAGACCTTACCCCCGGTGGGACGTAGATCCCATCAACTGTGGTGCCGCAAGACACCCGTTGTAGTATGCCCCCGTTGAAGGCAGGTGTGATACGGAAGGTTTCGTTGATGCAGGCGTTGAGATAGGGCAACCTGGCTAGACAGTCGTCCGACAGCTCATCCACGGCGGCCCCCACAGACAAGACCTCCGCTTCCAGTCTCCTTAAGCATTGTGGGTCCTTCAGCAGGAAATAAAACAAAGCGTTTAGCATGTTGTCTGTTGTCCCGTATATGCTAAATCTACGCCGATGGTTTAGTCCAGGGGCGCCATTATTCCCTACCGGCCTGGGACCGATGCTCACCGGAGAACAAAACAATTGACCTGCAATAAGGAATCAGGAACTTGGAGCATGGTCCTCGAAGCTGCTTGCCGGAGCCGACTGTGAAGGTTATCCGGGAATGCAGATTCATCCTTGTCATAGTTGACTTCGCCTGGATGGACGGGCCGTCGGAAGATGAAGCAGATGGCCTGCCATACTCTTAGAGCAATTGAAATGTGACGGTGAATGGTAGCTCGTGAAAAGAAGACTAAGAGTGTCTCAAGGAAGCACATGAAGGGGTCCAGCCAGTCAACATGAGGATTAAAGCTTACTATTACTTCGATTAGTGCCGAGAAGCTCGACCCCATTAGTGAATTGTGGAACATACCTCGCTCCGCTTCAACGCCGCGGTTTCCAAAGGCCGCCATGCTCGCGAACTGCCACAAGTACCGATTGTTCAACGTGGACAGGGAGACGGGTGCGGCTTCTGTCTGGCCTACATGATGGAATGCTAATTGCTCGGCCATTGCTAGGTGACAATACTCCTCGCCTTTGGCGGCCAGCAGCTCGTTCAACGAGGTAGCAACCAGGGGACGTAGCTTTCGGCGATTATCCTTCTCTGTTGAGTTGCCTAACGAATCTGCCATGCCGCCCAGGCTTCCCAACAGGCCTTTCCGACTGCCGTAAAGCGAGAAGTTATTGTCCCCATGGGGTCCATAGATGGTATCGAATGCGCTTATTGTTGCGAATGATAGCTCACTTGGTCCGATGCGAACTACTGGGCCTGAAGGATAGTCGGGTGAGCTTTCTGAAGATTGGGGAGATGCGAGGGATACGGAAACAGACTAAAGCCCACCGTAAGTGTCATGCAGCTCTTTGAAGGTGAACATCAGTCGGCCGGTGAGGACCATTTGTATGCTACAGATCTGGTACAATGAATTAGCTACCTGAGCAAGAGCATGGGGCGATGGCGACGATAATTGTCCTACCGGAAAAAATTTGGCCAGCAAAGGACCTGGAATATGCGACAGAGGGTCTAGATGGAGGCGGTATATCAGCCATCCGACAATGGCCGCTGCTAGCTGTATATCGAATAGTCTCGGTTAGTTGTGGGTGCAAGCTACATGAAGATCCAAAAACTATGTGCCGCATGGCACGTACTAGATAGAGAATCAGCATTGTGTACACTTAGGCTCATCGGCGGAAATGGTAGTTGTTGGGAAGTGAATGCTCCCTAGGGCCGTGAGATCATAGCCTTAGGCCTCGGTGTTGCTCAAATACAATGCTCGTCGGTCCACCATTTTCCAGTGGCCCCTCTTCAGACATTGGTCCTAAGGCACTCGCAATTTCATTTTCAATACATTTTTGGTGGTGACGACCTCGATGCAGGGAGGAGACGGGGGTGAGGTGACACCAGTTCTGGTCCCAGCTCTGCTGTTCATCCATGTGGTAGTGTCTTTCCATTACTACTATCGGCTGTAGCAAGGGTTGGTCTAGACTATCCATATGTCGAAACAGTAAGCCTGTTTCGTTGGGTGACATGAAAGGGGGGGTTGCCCCTTGCTTTGTTGAGGCAACCGTGAACAAATCACGAAGCGCGGGATTTTTCTACTTTGTCAGACTGCGAGGGGCCATTAGTATTACCAGTGGACCTCTGGATACCGGTGCACTGATATCGCAGGTTATATCTATTGGGTTTCAGTTACTGAACAACTCACATGATCACTCTATGAGGAGGCGCTGGTGGCTATAACATATTTGCCACAAAGAATCTACTAAATCTAACCAACAGTCTTTTATGCACCCCATTGAAGTAGAATACAACTGATCGAAATCTTATAATAAAATCAATAGGCCTAAATGTTGGCCCCTAACCTACGTAAGACAATGATTAATGCATGATTATTACAGAAAAGAAAATTTTGGCGTATGCGCCGAGCCATCATTCACTTTCGAGGCCCAGAAATTCCGTTCAAAGACGGCAAACGAGGATGTTGCCCAAGCACCAGGAAGGCCGAGCGGCCTATTTAGCGCGATATAAAGGTGGTGCAATAGCTGACTGTCTATCCTCACTACTGACGGAAAAGCTGACTCCGGGCGCATCATGGCGCCATTGTTGTCACACACACACACACACACACACACACACACCCCCCTCTCATCCGGCCTCGCCAAATGACCGACTGTCATCTTAGAATACTGCCAGATGGCTACCCTCATGCCATATGAGGGGGAAAATTTCAGTGTGTATAAAATACCATTCCAGCTACTTGGAGACCACAATTGACGATAGTTTCAATGGAGTTATACATGAATGCTGTTCTTACATGGAGACGCTGCAACTTCTTTTCGGGCGGGCAAGTATCAGGAACCATATAAGCAACGCAGTATAGTGTGCGGAGAAGGTAATGGAGACTTATACAATTGTTCAACGAGCACGGCTAGCATAGGATGGCAGATACACAGAAAACCACGGGACCGTAGGGACATGGTCGATCCGAGAACGTCATGCGGCAAGGGATGAATGTTAACTCCTTGGTCACGTAAGGACCCAGGGGCTCCCGCCTAATGAGGTAGACCCTCCGACTCAAGAGGAGCCGGACTGGCTGATTTATTTGCTCGATGATCGCCACTAAATGACAGTTGCAGCGAAGAATGAAGCAGCAGATAAGCCAATGGCTGGATGGAAAGTGTGCACCACGACATAATTTTTCATAATAACCAGACTCGAGGGAGTATTACTCGAATACACACTCTGGAGACTGGTAGGACCGACATTATTTACCGCGCGAGGTCCAGCATCGGCAAGGCTGTGTGGATGCCTGCCGATAACCTATTGCGAAAGATATCTTGCGCAACGAAAACGAAGGTGCAACCGCCAAGGAGCTGAATGAAAGTCAAGTCATCAGAGCCGTGGGGGTGGAGACATCCGTGGATGATAGGATGGTCTGCACGACGAAAACAGGCAACTGGAAGCCCATGCCGATGCCTTCTCCCAGAATCACCTGGTATACCATCCATTGACCTGTCCCGAAATCTGACTGCAGTGTCGAGAGCAGACCAGCGCCGATACTAGTCATGGCCGTCCCCAAAGGATCAAGACGAACCACGTTTTTCCTTAGGCTTATCGGTGCGACAGGTTTGCTGTTTTGGAAGGTAAAGAAGATAACGACTGGACTCAATAGCCCAAATGGGAGATATATATCGAAACACTAGCGGCACAAGATGTGGTTTTTCAAGGCCCGGCCCATCCTAAGAACCGGCGTCATGAGGTGACCTCGTACTCTCTATCATTTGATCTTGCGACGGAGGACCTACTGGCCTATAAGGTTGCAGAGGTATAATTACGTTCGCACTGAAAGTACGCTCACTAGGTACCCTGAGAAGGCTGTCCGTCGGCGGAATGGCCCACTGTGAGTGATGATGATAAGGGAACCGAAGAATGGCTCCCCTCCCCCCAGGCCGGCCACTGCGCGGGACGGATGAGAGGCCCGACAAAGACGGGGTGATGCTGCAGAAGGAAAAGCGAAGTTCAAACACCAAGAGGCCACTCATATTGGCACATTTGATGGGGAAGAAGGTTTTTAAACGGCTGAAAGGGAGTGTCACGGCGAAGGAAGTGAGCAGGTAGGTACTTGCATACCACCCGCATCATTCAGCAAGTGGAACTGCTGGATAATATTTGACATCGCGGTGGCCATAATGGTTTTATCGAGTGGTGTAAAAGAGATGCAGAAGAAGAGCCCGGTAGTGAGTGATCAATACCAGTTTCACGTCCTCTTCCCGCTCAGGCCGTTCTTGGTGATCTGCCGGTCCGTCTATGCTCTCACTGACAGTTGAGGACCCCAAATTGGCTTGGGAGACCCCTTGACACTTGTCTAACTCGACACCTTCGCCCAGGGGCAGAGAAGCGGAGACTCCGCTTAAACTATGTGCAGTGTCTGACACCGGGACAGAATATCTGTAAGCATAGCCAGCGGCTGGGTAGCCAGAACGGGGGTACTAGTGTTTGAGAAAAGCAGTCAGCTGTCACAGCCAACTGAATCAGCAGGGGTGACTGACTTGCCTGCAATGCAAGCCAAAACTAAGACCATCCTATGAGAGCGCAAATATGATCGTTTGTGCATGTTCCACGGGACTGCTTCGTGGATTGCAAATGTAAAATGTTCTCCTGATGGTGTCACTCCAGGGCCGAGAATGTTAGCAGCTGACTCTATCTGTGGCCAGACACGCCTCGGCCAGTTCTAGGCTGTACGCAACGATCGCAAGCCGAGTGTCGTTGATTCAGAGATTCGAGGCGTTGATGTATCATGTCAGTGTCTAGGCCCTCTGCCTTTACTCGTCCCTTGCCTACCCTTTAAATCTAGCTATGGCTCACCAATGCCCTCTTCTTTCTGTTACTCTGTCCGTCACTTTCAGAGCCTTTGGAAGGGCTTGTATGTGTCCTCCTCCCTCCTCGATACAGTCTTGCATGGTTACCGTTCATTACCCTCGAACAAGCAAGACATAACAACTGGATTACACTCGGTGATGGATGAACGTCTCTCTTCCCAACTGGAACGCTATGCCAGCCAGGTAGCTTCTAGTGCCGGCCTCATCGCCGAACACCTTAGGTCACTCAAAGACGACCCGTCGATGCTGCCTAATCTGACCACACTACCAACAACAATTGACGCAGCCAAACTTGAGTTGGAGGAAGCCGCAATTCAGCTGCTGCATCTAACCCGGGACCCAGGTGATGTGCTGACAAATTTAACGGTTGATGTTCGCATATGCTTTCCTACTTTGGCCTCCTTTCTCTGAAACTGTGCAAATTTATATGGACGGCTAGCTGATAATACAGTAAATGTGTGATTTCATTTTCCAGCTCCAATTTATCTGTGCCGTGCGATGGTTACTCCACTTCAAGATTCACACTTTTGTGCCACAGGATGGCACGATCTCATACCAAGAACTGTCTCACATGGCAAAAGTGCCAGAGAAACTCTTGCGCAGCTACCTACGACTCGTCATGACCGGTCACTTGTTCCAGGAGTACGGAACAACGGGAATGGTGGGCCACAGCCCTGTATCGCGCAAGCTAGCCGGTGACCCGACCTTGGACAATTGGGGCCAGTACTTTGCTGAGACCGTTTTCCCAACTGCAGCCAAAAATGTGGATGCGACTGCTACTTGGCCAAATAGCAATAAATTGAATGAAACGGCGCATAATCTTGCCTTCGATCACCATGGCTCCTTTTTCGACTATATATCGCAGGATCCTGCCCGCATGGTTGAATTCGCCAATTCCATGAGAGCGGTGTCCACTACCAATCTGTTTGACACGTCGCATTTATGCAAAAGTTTCGACTGGTCATCGCTCGGTGATGGGGTCGTAGTCGATGTGAGCCTCTATATCCCAGATTCCCTTCCATGCACTACTTAACAAATACCTCTAGATAGGCGGCTCTACTGGTCATGTCAGTGTAAGCTTAGCAGAGAGCTTTCCGAGCCTACGCTTTGTGGTGCAAGACCGCCCAGAGGTTGTTCTTAACAGCATCCAGCGACTGGAAGAGCGCGAGCTGCCCCTCTCAGTGACTACTCGCATCCGGTTTCAGGGCCATTCCCTCTTCCACTTACAGCCAGTTAAGGGTGCTGCCGTATATCTGCTGCGCCAAATTCTCCATGACTGGCCGGATCAGGAAGCTGTTCAGATTCTTCGCAACATTTTGCCTGCTCTGGAACCAAAGAGCAGGATCTTCATCGCTGACATAGTTCTACCAGAAACGGGCTCTATTCCGGCTACTCAGGAACGGGTAATGCGCTGCAATGATCTACTGCTTCACCAGTTTACCAACACGCTGGAGAGAACGCTGAAGGATTGGCTGGCCATCGTCCGTCAAGTGAGTAACAGGCTACGAATTCAACACGTGTATAGAGATCCCGGTAGTATCCTGTCCCTTATAGTCTTAAAAACCGTTTGAAAATTGGGCAACAGAGAATTGAATTCTGGTCGAACATTTGATAATGCGGAAGGGGTGGTCACAGGGCATGCTATTCTCCTCAGAAAAGAGGCGTCCCAAGGGGAGAAAGTACATTCATTCTGGACTGATAAGTGTACCGGCCGGTCATTGCCCCTTGCGTCGCACAGCCCAGTGGGGCAATCTACGGATTGCGCATAACGTGGTGTGTCAGTCACTGCATTCTAGTTCTATAGAACTTATCATCGCTGTCATCAGGCATCATGTTCCTACCTAGTGTTTGCACGATGGAGACTTTGCTGTACTAAGTGTAAGCTGACTACTAACTGCGCGACCTAGACCGTAGTATGATCGGGTATCACCGAACGTGCCGCCAATGATAGCGGCTTGCAATTCCCCATGTGGTGTGGAATGGAGATTCAGAGTTTCTTATCGCCAGCGTAAGCAGTAGACCGCCATCAATATTCCCGCACACCGGTTCTGGCCCTAGGTGAAAATTATCAACAGCCCCTGTCAGGGGCTCAGGACATCTTCGTGGCTTGGTATGGGCAGGTTGATTGTGCGTGCGCCAGGTATCCTGCGTGTATTAATTGGTGGCGGCCAGGGTCCGATAAGCCTCGCGCCAGATTTGCATGCCCCCATGCACCGCTCTGGGTATCACTGGAAGATGATCGTCAATGGCGAGAGAAAAATTGAATTCTGCGGGAAGAAGGATGGCTAGCCGTGAAACCACAACTGATAAGCAGATAAGCAGGACTTCCCTATATCTAGAGGGTATATCCTAGGACGTTGTTGTTTCAAAATTCTGAACTTTGAGCAAAACATCGGAATCCAAGATCTTCACAGGCATGGCCGCTCCGCAGAATGCCCCCATCCCCGAAGCTGGGAAGAAGGTCATGAGCACTGTCACTATGGTGTGTCGGTTCCCTGCCTCCTACTCAGGGTTATGATATCCTTGTTTGTTTTATTCCATGGTCAAGCTCACGTTCTCCCTCCGCTAGGCCCCTTCTCTGGGGTTCGTGCCCATTGCTGTCCATTTTGACCTCTTCGGCTGCCTGCAAGACATCGGTAAACCAGCCACCGCGCAGGATGTCTGCAGTTTTCATTACACTAAATACGGTGATACCGACCTGTGTATGTCATCGAATGCCTTCTTTTGTGGAACGTTTGTGTGGCTAACCATGTGATTCAATCCTAATGCAGCGGTGCCTTTGGCCAGTATGTCGCTTCTGGCATACCTCCTCATGACCGAACAATATTCACAAATTTTAACTATGCCGCAGATGATACCCTTTTCCTTATGGGAGGGTTGGGGTTCTTGGACCTTCTTCCAGACGATGTGTACCGGGCCAACGACGTCACCCGATTCTTGGTGGAAACGCCCTCTGCCCAGCATGGAGCCATGCATTTGTAGGAATCCCTTGCGACACACCTTAAGCTGTGATGTCGGTAGCTGACAGCAAGGTTCTCTCACTATCCAGCACATCTGAGGGACTTTTGGCATCGGCATTTCTCATGCGGCGCCTGATGGATACCAAGTTTGAGTATCCGTTCCAGGAGTGCGAAACTCCGTTCCAGTATGCACACAAACTCATGGGCAATGACTTCCTGGCTCGGGAACATGTGTATTCAGTGATGCATCACACGGGCCGTCTCGATAGCTTTAACACTTTCATGACGGGCAAATTTGGCCGCTGGGGCACCATGCCCGATCGCGTCCGCAAGCTCGGGTATGATCTGGATGGCTTGCTTCAATCCACGGCTCCCGAGAAACTCCAGGTAGTTGACATCGGTGGTGGCCGGGGTGAGCTGCTCTTGGAGATGCAAGCAGCATACCCGCACCTACTAAAGAAGGAGAACCTCATTTTGCAGGAGTATAATGCAGACATTGGTGTGGTTCCCGAAGTCACAGAGATGGCCTGGAATTACAAAGAGGATGGCAGCGAGCAGCCTGTCAAGGGAGCTTTGCTGTATTCCATGGCTCACGTCCTCCACAATTTGTCGGATATTGAGTCCATCAAGCTGTTGGCCAAGGTCGCTAGTGTCATGGCCCCGTCTTCACGTCTGCTCATTCAGGAGTTTACGAAGAATGCAGCTAGTTCGACCACCCATGCCGCGATGATCTTGATGCATGCTGGCCGAGAACGGACCCGCGCGGAGTGGAGGGATCTTGCGGCCTTTGCAGGCTTGCAAATAACTTTCGAGGCGTACCCACCAAATGGAGAGTGTGTTGTCGAGCTGAGAAGAGTACTTAATTGAATGGCCAACACGGCAGGTCTCGAAGCTTAGGCACCAAGTCTGAAGTCTTCATAAGCTGGTTGCTTACGTTAAATTGCCGCTCAGTGGCCTTGAAGAGAAAGCATTTATAGGCGCTGCCTGTATGTTCTGCCATTGGGCCATTTTTTACAATTTAGAGCTTCCTAGTGCGATATTCCTACGCTGTTTCCAGTATTCCCGTGTGGGATGTTTGCTGCAAGATCAGGGTTCTACGAGAAAGGCTGTCTAGTACGTAGTGTCACTGAAAATGCCAATAGAATCACGATTGTCTTTGCGAGCGCCACATTCTGAGACCCAATGACCTTGCGCTATATCTCTATCCTAAATCACTACTCATTCCCCCAACCCCTCTCCACAACTTAATCTTGCTTCCCTCTTGGACTATCTTCCACTGTGGCCATCATTCGGCATTCGAACGTACCCAAGAAGTTACTCTCGTTCCACTAGTACCAAGCTAAAGCACACTATCTGGTGATATGTGCCAGAATAGCAGGGTACCCAATAAGGCAAGAAATCAGCTTATGCAATCCTGCACGGACGGCGAGGTCATTCTGATCCATATCAGCCATGGTATCACTGGGGTGTATATGGTAGCATGCACTCACTAGTCCTCGACAACCTTGACCTCCAAGGGCCCCCACTATTAAAGTTGAGGGTATGAGTGCCGGTGACAAAGACCACCTTGTAATACTCGTCCCCTTCTGAGTCAAAAAACACGTAGGTACTTGCGTATTCGCCTTGTCTTTCGGTGACTTCAAAATCGAGCTGATACTTATAAATCAGTCCGTCAGCCTGGAACAGGCAGTACCTGGAGATGCGCGTCTCTCGCTGAAAGACGAAATTGGTTGTCTTCCATGTGCTATCACCGACAGGCCAACCGGCATAATAGGTGCCGGACCTGGCTGCAGAGACTAATTGCAGCAGCACCAAGAACAAGAGGAGAGGAAAATGCACGATGGCGACTAGTGGTAATATTGAAGAGCTGTTGGGTGAGGAAGGTCTGCAGTCGTGCTGTGGTTATGCGATATGAAGATATGTGATGATTGAGAGGAAAGATGCCACCAAGGATACCTTTCCAACTACATATAGTCGGGCGGTCGCACGCTTCAGTCTCTTGTCAACTAGCGCCTTGAACTATCGCGGAGCTCTGGACGAGTGTGCATTGTACACTTTGGAAGCAGCTAAATTAATCTCGGGTCCGTCATGCAATCTCGCACATTGTGAAGATCCCATGGATTCGATGTTCAGCATCATACCGTGCAAATTTGGGAGAACCGCAAATTTGAGACTCCAACGCAACCGCCACTTGCGATGCAATGCGTCCATCTCCAAGCCTCAAATACCACTAAACTTGGGAATAGGGAATTGGCATGCAGATCCTTGCATTTGGCTCTCCTCAGTCACGAGTCGAAAGCGCGATCGATTCATTTTGAGCTTTAGGCTCGTCATGGATCGGAACTAATGGCCACACCAGCGATAGATAGTGTGGCTAGTGCTGGCGAGCTAGGGCCCGACTACTGTGGCCGGCGTGCGGCTAAACCTGTGCAAATCGGAGCAAGTCCCTATGGCATTCTAGTAACGTAGCTCGACATTCTATTTGTCAGCTACTTTGCTCAGCACCCACTACTTGACTCCGATGCCTGTTGCTTACTGGCTATATGCTTGGGGATCAGCGATTGGCTTGAGCCGACTTTGTGCATGGCAAGCTGCTAGTTCCCAGTGCTTTTGGCGGTTTGGAGCAGTGTGCGCTTCCGAATTCCGGGGCTTATTACACCGAACAAGATGCCGCTATTTACACCATTAGGTGGTATTCGCCGGATATTCCGACTGGGACTCCGGTATCCATGGTTCATGTCAAGATTTGGAAACCGATTGGGATCGATTGTAGATTATCCAGTGACCCGCCCATTGTTGAGTCGCTTCTCATATGCAAACTAATTATTCCAACCCCTTCCAGCCCCGGAGCCAGGTATTGGGTAGGGGAGTTGATCGAATGTGTACGATGCGGGCTTCGAACACCGGGGCAAAAGCTCCGGATTCCCACCTGGAGCACAATTCAAGATTTAAGAGGTTTATAGGAATATCTAGAAGGTATGGCAGGGACTACTTTTGAGCACCATGATACAGCAGAGTTCTGACCCTGACGATGGAAACGTCAGAATGTGACCGAGGAGCGCAAGAAAAAAGCAGCGTAGCGTTGGCGTAACAAAGTACAACCGCCTTGACAGTTCTACCGAGCTTTTATACAAAATGATCGGTCAGAAGATCTCAAGAAAGAAACTGAACCCCCTTCTTCATTGTGGAATGTGGTTCCGGGCGTAGGTGATGAGAAGTAAACAAGGCACACATCTCGGCTTAACTTGGGAGGGGCGAGCGATCGTGCCGTTGCATGTGTGAAGGTGGCAAAACAATAAGCTATTTCCAGCACATGTGCATAATTGTAAGCTTCATATCTCCTCAACTCTGCTTCTCCAAGCTCCATATATAGTACAGAATAAGTTCGATAACATATGGGTATCGCAATTGAGCAGTTGAAAGCCGGTCTTTGCATTTTCCGCGTCTAACCACAGCGACCACGGCCGCCACCCTCAGCGAGCGAGGAATTCTACTACACTTGAAAGGACTTGGCATCAGTCGATAACGATTGAGATTATATATAGGGTAAATATTAATGTATAGGTACGACGATGTTACGATCACAAATTTAACCATTGATAACTTATCACCTGGGGAGAGAAGACAGGGTTCCAATGCTGTCGCAATAGCACCCCATAGCTGATCCTCAATAGGGGAACTAAGGTCTGGACTGTTTTACCAGTAGAAATGTGACTGGTCCCAGATACGCTGAATTATTAGTCCGCCTTCCCAAGCTAACATCGACCTGGACCATGCCTGTGCACGATTCAGTAGTACTGCTACCTTCGAGCGGTCCTTCCTACGTAGCCTTTGATATTCAATAGAAGATTGTTTGCATGACTAGTAGAGGGTGTTCCAGTTCTATCTATACTTCAATAGGAAAATACTGTCCCGGATTTGCTATCTCATGTCTCAGGAGAGCACTCCAAGTCAGTTGATGGTAGCAGGAAACGGAGCACGGCCCCACAACAGAATTGCGACAATAGAGCCGTTTGTAGTACATTCGATTTACATCATTGGTATTCTCAACCTCTTAGTGCATGATGTTAACTATAGATAAATTAACAATATAAGATGCTTAACCCGGTACAGCTGGTAAATAGCCTATTTCTAGTGACTTGGCGTGTCACGTGGATCGTTCAGGGACGCAGACCCACGCACCATCAATGACAGCATAGGGTCTGCAATGCCCGGATAATGCAGATTGCAATGGAATGCGTACGTGTATAGAGTTTGATGTCATCAGGTGCGGGCCAATGTCTGATGTTACAGCTCAACTTCTCCTGTCTCCTGGAAGGCTTATGGGCTATCTCTCAATCTCTGATATGTTATATGGTTCTAGAACCTCTTCTCACCCGACTTGCCTATTTTGGTTACCGTGCCCCACTCTTTCGGATCTCCAGAGTTTGGAGACACAAAACTAGATAACTACTGTAGGGACATGGAACTTTTGCGTGCGATGGGTAGAAAAGGGTGGTGAACGCTGATTTCAGGCCTGCTAATGCCCCCTTTCGAATAACCGTTCAGCCATCCCAAGGTCGCCTGCCTCCTATAACCAACTTGGTCACCCATCATTCCGCTCATGTCCACATCAACCGACGCCAGCCCGGCATCCAATGTTCTTGGCACCATCGGCACCGTTTTCTGGTGTATCCAGCTTGTCCCCCAGATATGGTATAACTGGCGACGGAAGAAGACAGAAGGGCTGCCTCCCGCAATGGGGTTCTTGTGGGCTGTTTGTACGGATCAACCCCCTCCCCTGGTGCTGAATATTCATATATACATCTCAGTGTACTAGTAATGTCCGCCATTAAGACCATTTAAGACGGGACTGCCACTTTTAGTGATACTGACTGGATCTTTGTCAGGTGCTGTGCCCATGGGCGTTTATCTGATCCTACAGGTAAATAGTATCCTTCAATTTGCCGTTCAGGTACAGGTAATGGCTTGAGTCGAGATGCTTACAACAATGACGCCAGGAAGTCAATCTCCCGATGCAATTACAGCCTCAGTTTTTCGGGACTTTTTCTGCCATCATCTGGGCCCAGATTCTACACTATGACCAGTGAGGCCTATTCATGCTTGGAGACTAAGAGTCGAAGTATCTAAGCTTAAGCGCTATCTATGTTTGTATGCTGACATGAAGAACAGCAGCTACACCTCCCAGAAGGCTACATTGGCGTGTTTGGGCCTCCTAGCCATCATGGGTGGGGTCGAAGCCCTACTCATTTTGACACTAAGGGCATGATGGCTGGTCTACCTGCTCATGGCAGTATTACATAACTAATTCGATCCTGGCTGCAGATCCCATATAATAAGGGCATCACCTGGCCGGATATCCTGGTGGGTGGGATAGCCACAGTACTTCTCGCCGGCGGCATGTTACCAATTTACTTCGAATTAGGGAAAAGGCAAGGCCGGGTAATTGGAATAAGTACGTGGTTCCCTGGATAGCGAAGACGCGAAATCTCACCGACATAGATTGGGTCTTCTTATGCATCGACACGCTTGGAGGACTGTTTTCAATTTTCGCCCTTGGTATGGCTGCTATACCTTCAATTGCATGACATGCTAACGGAGTCCAACAGTGGCACAAGGGTCATTCGATATCCTTGGTGGGGTTATGTATATCGTCGTGTGAGTCCGTTGCTTGCCTCGCGGTATATGCTCAGAGTATCTGACCAGTGACCAGTGTGGTACTCGAGCTGGGAATTTACCTCAGCCACATCATTTGGCGCATTCGGTTTCGTGAGGCCCGAAAGGAAGCCAAGCTTTCGGGGAGGGATGTGGAGGACGTTCTCCGAATGTGTGGCCCGGCGTAGTAGGCGACCTTAAAGAATAAGCATACGTCGCTCCGGTGCCAGCCTCATGAACTGGATCCACGTGAGGTCACTTCCTGGCAAGGCCCAGAACCGCTTCAAGAAGGACAAGACATTGCGTCGGTCCAATGTGCCGCTCACCTCCATAACTAGTTCAATTGCGTGTGCGACCACTTCCTGTTTCTGCGGGCACCCACGGCACTCGGTGCCTGCAATGAAAAGCGGCCACACAAGGTCATGAGAGAATGAGTGCTTGTCAACGAGAAGGGCGAGATGGATAAAGATGGAATCTCTCCAAGACTTGCATATCATACCTAGAGAACAATTCCTGGCGAGGACGTGGGGAACATAATTAGGCCGGCGTAGTAAAAGATCCACACCAGTGCTGGAAACTGAGACAGGCCTGGTCGGTTTGCCAGCATAGTATAAGGCTGAGCTTAAGAATGCGGGCCTTGGTGGCTTCCAAATCTCCTATCATCGTGTCAAGCAATGAAAATTCCATCCCATAGTCATCACTAGATTGCAAGCGCTCCACATGTGTCGTTTGACTGATTATGTCGAAAAAGTCGCTAAATATAACATTCGAACCAGTCAGCGGAATAGCCTCGTACTCCCCAAGGGCATCGAAAGGCTAGCAAAAACACTGGCGTAGTACTGCTCGTAGACTAAAAAGGCATCGATCTCATCCGTGCCTCCGGCGTCCATCAGTGTGTGTTCTGTCCATCGGCGGATCACACGTGCGGCCTCCAAGTGCACCCGCCACTTAGCCGATGCAGCGCCGAGGAGTTCGACGTTATAGAGGATGCGCGTGGCGGCCAGTGCGCACTGGGCCTGTTTGGAGGAAGAGCCTTCCTGCCTCATGTGGCGAAGAAGCTGAGCCACCGAAGCCAAGGCCTGATCCCGGCGGCATACAGAGACGACCTGCAGCTGCTGGCGACGCGGATGGTCGTTCGGGTAACGCGCAGCAAGATCTTCCGACGAAGGTGCAAGCATGGCATGAAGGACAGTCGACGATGCCCCCGCCAGTGGAATGATGACCTGTCCCCAGGGCTTCGTCGGGCCATCCACCCAAGCCACCTTGGCAGACACAATCTGATGGTAGTGATACATGAGTTCGGAAGTTACTGCATCAGGGCAGTGGGCAATAGTCGGGGAGCATGGTAGAGGTAGCTGCCTGCCCGCCAGTCTACCTCTGCTAGCCACTCCTTGGCCCCATGGGAGGATGAGACCGTATCCCGGACATGGAAATCCTCGTGTGGTGCAGTTCCGGCATGCTGGGACCGATCTGTCGCATTTGATGCGACGGGTACGGCACTTGGGACAGTCTTGGTTCTGGTTAGTATCCCTCAAGGATTGGCCGAGAAGAAAGGGAGGGGATGTTGGGGTATGCATACGCACCTTTATCTGCAGATATGCTCGCACGTCGAGGCGTGGACATTGGAGGCGCCAATGACGTTGCAGTTGACAAAGGCCTTGCCTTTGATCCAGGAGTTATTGTCAAGGCTGATGCCCAACTGGACTCTCTTAAACAGTGGGCGAAGGAGTGGTACTAACAAGTGCATAATCCTATTACTCATATTCATCTGCATAACTAGCATAGTTCCCGCCCCGACCAGGCCACCCATGATTGACTGTTGATATTTTCCTTCAGTATAACTGTAAGAAGAAGGGGAAAAGTCCTCCCTTGATGTCTGTAGCATTGATATCCAGGAATATAATTCAATGAGAACTTGATTGAAACTAAAAAAGAAGAAATAGAGACAGAGAAAAAAAAAATTTAGAATGTAGTATAGTGTAGGTTTTACTTCTTCGTTTATATTTATATATCCTGCACATGATATATGTACGCAAATGACTTTTTGATTAGTAGTATTACTTTTTTACCTGGAACAGAAGAAAATGAAAACAGTGCTTAGAGTTCTAATAGTATACAGAAGAGAATTACACTATCAAATTGAAAAGACCCGTCAACAATGTCTGCTAATCAAGACTAGAAGTAAAGTGGGATCTTTGGCTTCGCTACACGAAATTTCCACTAGTATGTACATGCCTGCCATGTGGTCACTTGACTAGAAATATATCTCAGTATAGAACATCCTATACTTAGATATTGATGTAATATTTGTATATTTACATCGTTGTCTACATGTGAGCGAAGCGGGCGCAGACTACGGAAAACTACATCGCCAAATCAGCTATGTTGCGTTGGCTTCCTAAGAACATCCCATAGTTCAGCACAGTAAGGAAGATAGCCTTATGAGTACATGGTTGTTGAGGAGTGTCATAGTATGAACGAAATCGTCGATGAAGATGCTGCTAGGACTGGGTACTTGATAATAAACTATACACTCTGGCCCTATGACTTTTAAACGTTCGCCCGCATCTTGAAACAAAGATGGCAAAAAATTGAAACACGCAAATGACCTGCACAATCTATCCTTTCCGGTTTAGGGCCACACTCCCTTTCATTCGGGGTCTCTGTCTATTGGCTCTTTCTCTTGCCACAAGAAGGGCATTTTCATCTAACAGGCTCCGTAGATCTTTTCCAACTTGATCTGGTTCCACTCATACGCCGTCATATGGGGATACTTGGCCGGATTGGTCTCGGACACAAACTGCCCGAACGGGTAGATGGAGTTATCGCGAGCTACCTTGGCAAAGTACGTAACGGACATGCGTTCCTTCAGCTGTCCTTCCTCTCGCTCCCGCGCGGAGATAGGCAGCGTCACGCGATGGCTGACCGACGTGAGGTAATCATTCGTTAGCCGCTGCAGGCTATCCCCAATATTGACGAGCATGACATGCTTGTTTTCGCACTCCACGGGGAAGTAGGTGCCCAAGTTGGACTGGTCCTCAACTTCCAGTCCTCCGACGGAGTCTTGGAAGAGCAAGGTGACTGTCCCAAAGTCCGTATGCTCAGAAATGCGGCTCATGTGGCCGGATCGCAGATCACGAATATCAACCGCGGGATAATAATTCAAGCGCATTTCGCTGACATTGGGCATACAGTGTTTGATAACCTCGAATGGCTGGTCTTTGGTGCTCAGAGCCATCTCCAGCGCCTTGAGAATGTTCAAATGAGCCACGTGAAGAAGCTCGTAGAAGATCTCGAAGAAAGAGCGGAAGCCTGGTGCCTCACTCTCATCCGGCCATATGTTGTCGTACATCGGGTCTTCGGGATTTCCGATGTCAAACGACTCCTTTTACCGAATCGGCAGGTCAGCAAACCAAGACGGATGAAACTTGATGATGGAGTTCTATACTACCTACCTTCACATCAAAGACCTCCTTGTGCTCCTTACAAACCCCTTTCTCAAAATCTTTGATCGCCGAGCTCTTCTCTTGACCGAGACTCACCCATCCGCGATTGGGATTAGCACAGGGTGGATGAGGATACTTCTTCTTGATGTCCTGGGGCAGTTCGAAAAAGGAACGGTTCTTTTTGCTCACAGTTCTATCAGTCTACCTCCTGTAGTGACTAACCCAGATTAATCAAAGGACTTTCTTACCCATTCGAATGCCTTGTCGATGGCGGCATTAGGAACGCCGTGATTGATCAGCTTAACAAATCCCTGGCTCGCAAAGCATTGCAATAAGTCGCGAGAAAACTGGGCTCGTTCTTTCTCACTCCCGAGGAAGAACTTTGCCATGTCCAGCGTAACGACAGTTCCAGCAGCCATGATTTAGGTTGGTTATGGGTTGATGTTGAAGGTCTCGGAGATATCGTGGGAAGTTGAGTTGGACATGTCCTCGAAGACTGGAACTTGGTCCACAACACAGGGCATTTTAAGCATCGACTGTGTAACGCAACAAACACATTGATCATGGGAGCTGAACTAAAATCCTAGATCTCCACACACTCAGCGCCGTAGGGTGCGTGGCTTTCGTAGTGGAACTGCATACCGCGGAAGCTTCCGACAGTCATCCTCTGGCTCAAGATGCGTTGTTTTTCTCGCTGGAATGTAAAAAGTCAAGATAGACATTTGGTTTTCCTTTCCTGGTGTTTTGAACGCGCAACACTGACTTCACCAGGGCTGATTGTTCTTGCTTAATGCCCTAGGGCTGGTCAAAGCACCTCCTCCTGACCAGAAACATATGTCAAGGCACAGCCACCTCCTCTCTCCATCAGCTGGGGGGTACCAAATGATCAGCAAAGCATTAGCATTACTTCAGCTAGCCGCAAAATGCTCGGGGGCGGCATATAGCCGACAGTACGTTGTACGACGATCTTGGTATGAATCTGCACCTCTCGGAGGCCTCCGGGAGGTGCTGCCGCTATAATATCGATGTCCGGCAGCTTGCGTGATGTCGTCTGCATATTGGTTTGCCAACTTACTTTTTAATTCTAATCACAGCATATGGCAGTACAGTTTCACCATAACTAGCTAGTTCTCCCCTACATCCTACACCCGTTCACACAATTATACCGATGGAAGCCAGTATCTTGCCCAGCGTCCCTGCGTGTGCAGGCATCGCCCTAGTGGCCTTGTTCCTGTACCAATTCATTATCTACCCTAGCTTTCTTTCTCCACTGGCGAAGATCCCTAACGCTCACCCATTGGCTCCTTACACGTCCCTGTGGATCTTGTGGGCGAGGTATCGCATTCGTGAAAATAACACGGTTCTCCAAGCACATCAGCAGCATGGCGAGATCGTCCGTTTGGCGCCGAACGAGGTCAGCATTAATTGTGTGAACGATGGCATCAAGACAGTGTACGGGAAGGGTTTCGAGAAGCCGCCATTCTATACCGTCTTCGTGAACTATGGGTACGTTGACTTGCTGTCTTATCGTCGTGCTGCTAACTTATTCTTCTCCATAGAGCGTTGAATATGTTCTCCTCCTTACACTCGCCTGAACATGCGATGCGGAAGAAGCGTATCTCGAACATCTATTCCAAATCGTTTTTACAAGCCTCACCCGACGCGACGGCCATAATCCAGGAGGTAGTGCAACGTCGACTTCTCCCGCAGTTCGCCAACCATGCCAACGCCAAGAAGCCAATGGATATTTATCCCATTTACAAAGCAACCGCCATGGATCTGACTACTTCATACTTCTTCGGTCTGTCGGCCGGCACCCAGTTTGTAAATGACCTGGCCGCTGCCGCCCGTTGGCAAAACCTGTATTTGGACGACCAACACCCGGTGTCGCTATTCTGGCTGCAGGAGTTGCCCGGTCTCACTGCTTGGCTGGAGAAACTTGGAATCTCCCCTGTTCCCCGGGCACGACATCTTGCACATGATCAGATCGCTGCTTGGTGTCTCAACATGAGTGATGGCGCAGAAATCATGCTAGCCAAAAAGGCAGGCGGGTCCATCTTGGAGCCGGGCCACCTTCCGGTAGTATACGAGAGACTCCGTCAGAGCACCGAGAAAGAGGGCGTGTCTACCACACCCAGTATCACCCAGAATCCCGTGATCGGCGACGATATCTCTGCCGCCGGCATGAACGGAAATGCAGCACAGACTCTCCGGACACCGCGGTCCCCGCAACAATTGCAGGTTACCAGCGAGTTGCTAGATCAACTTATTGCTAACAATGGCACCGTGGCGACGACACTACTATATGTGACGTGGCAGTTGTCGCAGAATTCGGTGGCATTGGCGCGTCTTCAGGATGAGTTGCGCAGCAAGCTGGGCCCCGAAGCCTTTGCATGGTCAGCGTCGAATGCGGGGGATGACACGCTGCCCAAGGCAAAGGATGTGGACGAGCTGCCTTACTTAAATGCAGTCATTATGGAGACCCTGCGACTGCACGCCCCGGTGGCCGGCAGTCAGCCACGGATTACGCCGGCGAATAACCAAACCACGCTGGGTCCGTATGAAAACATACCCGGAGGAGTACGCGTAAGTGCGGCTGCGTGGAGCCTGCACCGCAATCCCGCAGTATTCCCGCGCCCAGATGAATGGCATCCAGAGCGTTGGCTGTCAGAAACGCTGGAGGGCGCTGATAAGAAGGAGCGCTGGTTCTGGGCATTCTCCAGCGGGTCGCGCATGTGTATTGGGAGTAATTTGGCATTGTACTGTAAGTGTTATTCCTGCCTTTATCGCTGTTCCCTTGGCTAACTCTTCTGCTTTAGTGTTGAAATATGTGGTGGCAGCTATCTACGCCAACTTCCGCACACATATTGTAAATGACGAGGGAATTGAGCAGGAGGACGGCTTCATTTCGGGACCAAGGGGGAACCAGCTAACCGTTGCCTTTGAGAGCGTAAAATTCAACTGAGCAGTGTGACCCCGGACTGTTTAATAGAATATGATGCCTCAATCTGTTCGGATCCAGTATGAGTTCAATGCGTAGGGAGAAAAGTATGTGTGTATCCAATCTACCTGGTCTCAAAAAGGATGTTTTGTGGTTGGAAGAGGTGGTGGTCGGGGACCACGCAGGAAGAAGAGGCGAAGGATCAGCCAACCCTAGCTGGACTGAATACCTCATAA